TCGAGATTGAAGCCTTAAGGGACGTGCTGAAGGAAAGTGGTGGTGTGTACTGGATACCTACTATTGCTCCCCACCTCCAAATAGCACCTCCCTCCCCTGAGACACAATTGTTTCTCTACCTCTACGTGATCCAAATAGGAACTGTCATCTCTGTGGTTATAGTGGTTGGTTCAGGGATATACATCTAACTCAAGTTAGTCCAATTAGAGCCTCCCCCTAAATTTTAAAACTTGACATGAGAGAGCCCAAGTCTCCAATCTTTTCTGGAGGTACAAAATATGAATCCAGGAGTTTCTGGAGAAGACATTCTCTACCAGAAGGATGGAGTCTGTCTATAACAAAGAGAATAAAGATGAGTCCTGGCTAAGCGGAGTCCTTTAAAGCCCCTATTATACCCATTTCCCCCAGACTTAGTTATGGAAGCTAATATATTTCCCTTTGGTCTAAGGTATATCGGTTGAGTTTCTGATCGGCCAAAAAAGCCCTAATGTTTTGATTTCTGTCTGTTTGGAAAGTCTAAACTACTGATTTATTCCTGCTGAGACCAAGTTCTGCAGGAAAAGTCCTTTTCCAAACCACACACAGAGCCTAGAAGAAAAGTACATGCAATTAACTAACAGCAGAAAGTATTTAAGAGACAACTGTTGAAATCTTCCTGGAAGATTAATAGGCAACTTTGGTGATTGTTTCTAAAGGAACTGAGTGAGCATACAAAGTTGGTAACCATAAGAAACAACAAAAAAATGTTTTGGATCACCTTTTTGGAGAATTCCTTTTCTTTATCACTAAGTGCTTGAGTTTTCTCTTGCTCAAGAAGGAAATGTGATCTTCTCTGTTCCTCCAAAATGGATTCTGTCTGATGCAGTGAGTCCCGCAAAATTTTAATTTCTCCGTTTTTAATGAGAACTTCTTCTTCCATTGCCTTCATCTATAAATTCCAAATGAATTTTATGAGAATTTTGTAAGGGACAATTATGTATGTACTTGTTTCAACATGTAGCTGTGGAGATGGAGAAGACACATGTAAAACATGTCCTACAGATCAATGAGCGCTCAAAATAAATCTGTACCAATCAGATAACACCATGGTTTGATAAGCCCGTCTGTGGGACAGTTGATACTCAGCAAGATAGCTTTAAGACACACAAGCAGATTTTGTAGGTACTAATAGGTATTCACCAATCTGGGTCATACATTTTACAGAACCTAAAATTTCACATTATGTACCTGGTTTTATTAGGAACCTACAGTTGATTGTATGAAAGATGCTTTGGGCAAAACTATTTAATGAAAACAGCAACCATTATTATGTTGTGTTCTTAATTTCAGATACATGCTATAAATTTGTCTCAGTGCTACAACTGAAAGTCTGTATCTCTTTTTGGATTTGTATACAATGTTTCCTTTCTTACTTGGCTGTTAGAAATCTCAGGATTTAGTTTCTTTCAACCTAGATTTTCTGATCTGCCTTTCTCCAGTATTCCCCCATTTCAAAAAAATAGTTCTGGATGCTTGTTTTAAAACTTTTACATATTTTAATATGCTATCCTTTATAACATATGCACATGTGAATGAATTAGCTACAAAACCACAAGTATAGTCACTTACCTTTTCCTTAAGTTCTTTGTATTGTGCTTGAAGTACCTCTAATTCAAAATTGTCTTTAACTGGAACACCTTCTCTGTTTTTGCCTGAAGAATGTTTTGACATCCCATCTAATCTGGGGACTTTATGAACATCTGTAAAAAACAGTTTCCATATACCTTTCAGTTAATGTTGAAAAGAATCACTCTTGAAGCAAATTAGAGAAAGAGCTAATAAGCATATATAGCTATATATTTTCCAACCTCAGAACAGGAGTGAAACTCATAAATAATCCTTACAAAATAACACATGCTGCCACCCTCTCCCTATCCTCCACCCAGATTTAAAATCTTACCCAAAGGCTGAAAGGTGCTATGGGGATCTCATTGACAGAACTCAGTCATCTACTACTTAACAGTACTTACTGAGCATGTACAATGTTCCAGGCACAACTCAGTCTCTTAAGATACATTGGTGAGCAAACTAGATCCAGTCCTTACGTTCTTCAAATTCACAGGATAATTTTTTTTAAAAAATCATACAAATAAATATAAAATTAGAACTATGATTAGAGTCACAGAGAACAAATATAGGAAAGCCTACACAAATAGAATTTGATCCAACTGGAATGATCAGAAGGCTTCCCAAAGGAAATGATGACAGAGTTAAGAGCTGAAGAACAACAGAAATTAACCACTTGAGAGGGATAGAGAATGGATGGAAAGAAACATTTACTGAATAAGAAGCAGCAATGTGGGCCTCCCTGGTGGTACAGGGGTTAATTAAGTCTCAGTGCTGTCTCTCCCACAGCCTGAGTTCCATCCCAATCCCCAGCCAGGGAGATAACCCACATTGGCGCAGCAGCCCTCTCCTGTCATGTCCGCTGCTCCCCTCAGCAGTGTATTTCAGTAAATCTGCCTGTTCTGTTTCCCACTCTGTCTCGGGTGAATCCTCTCATCCCCTGCACCTCAGGCCTACCCCCAGTTCTTCTATGCATAAAGAAACATTCTTAAAAAAAAAAAAAAAGAAATAGCAATGTACAAAGTTTCTGTATTGTAAGGAAGCAGGCAGAATACCAGGAATAAAGGAAGGCCAATGTGGCAGGCCAGAGAGAGACCATGTTGAGCCTTATAGGCCATGTTAAGGACTTTTTTTTTTTTTAATAGAGGCATGTTTTATTTATTTGTTTGTTTTGTTTATACATGCACTGGGTACAGTCAGAAGCGCGGGAGGGTGAGAGAATTCACCAGAGTCAGAGCGGGGAGCAGAGCAGGCAGAAGGACAGAAGCACACTGCTGAGAGGAGCAGCGGGCGGCAGGAGAGGTCTGCGCGCCATGTGGGACCCTCCTCCGGTGGCCGGGGAGCAGCCGGGGATCGAACCGGTGCCGCAGAGGCCGCAGGCAGCTTCACAACCCAGCGCTCAACCGCTGCACCACCGGGGAGGCCCCATGTTAAGGACATTTTACTAGAAGATGTTGCAAGTCATTCATTCAAGAATTGTCAGTAAGGATGTTTACATGTGTCTGTGAGACTCAGGTGGATTAAAGGTTTGAAAAGATCACTATGGCTGTGGTGTGAACTCTGACTTGTCAGGAGTCAAGAGTGGAAATGGGGAAACAATATAGCAAACAATTTGTCCAGGGGAGGAACGATGGTAATACAGATCAGAAAGACGGTAGAGAAGACACAAAAAGGATGGATTCCAGGAGTGGATTAGGGAGGTAATGTTACAGGATTTGGGGCCTCCCTGGTGGCGCAGGGGTTAAAGTCAGCCCTATCAAGCTATCACCAGCCACTGCTGCATGAGTTCAATTCCCAGGCAGGGAGCAACCCACATGACACAGCAGACCTCTCCTGTTTCACCTGCTGTTCCCCTCAGCAGTGTATTTCAGCAGATCTGCTCTTTCTGCTCCCCACTCTGTCTCTGGTGAATCACGCCCCACACTACTGGCCTACACCCCAATTCTTGTGTGCATAAATAAAATTAAATCTTTTTTTAAAAAAGTTACAGGATCTGGAAAGGAATCAGATAGATGTATGCTCCAGGAGAGGGAGGGAAACTGTTGCCTATGCCACCTAATGGACAGTGGTGATAATCACTGTTGTATGGAACACTTGGTCACCAGTAAATGTCATCTGAGTGTCTGCCAGGCACCATGCTGTAGATGCAGGGTGACTGGGTTTCCAGAAAATGATTGTGTGGAATTTAAGGTGCCTATCATACATTCATTGGCTTTGTGTCTCTACTTTGTGCCAGGCTCACAATACTTCACTCAATCCCCAGCAGAATGTAAACTCTACCCTGGAAGGAGTTTTTTTTTCTTTTGTTCATTGCTAAATGCGCTGCAGTTCCTAAGGTTCAGGCACCTAATGAAATTTATTGTCTCTTTCATCTGTTGCTTCTTTTAGCTCCTTCTATGTGCCTGTGACCCAAGGGGACAGTGGGCTTGGGAAGATCTAAAACCTCCCAAACCTGTCATAAGAATGGGTCCCCCCCCTCCATGTGCAGATAATGAAAGATCACTGCTAGATCCAAGCCCCTAGTCACCTAAACTTTAGAAACTAACATAAAATGTCAAGCTAGCTTTCTATTTGAAATCGCCTATTTGGCATTCCTAACACGTTTCTCCCTAAAATCAAAGGAACTTTTGGGACACAACCGCTGCTTAAATCCAGGTGTTCCTAAATTTTAAAAGGTGAGGGGGCGGTGTGGGTGCAGACTCCGGGGCACCCACTTCGCCGTGGGGTTCCTAATCCAAAGGCATCAAGGGCAGGTGGGGAGAGGGATCTGGCGAAGTCTGCACCACCCTCGGAGGGGGAAGCAGGGAAGGCCCCAAAGGGCACTCACTGGACACGTCCCGAGGCTCGGCCGCGCATTGGCTCAGGGCCTGTGACGCGAGGGTGTCGAGTTCTTCCAGGTCGTCGGCAGTGAAATCCCCATGCGCGCCGAAAGGGTCTTCGAGGTCCGGGGCGGGGGCCGCCGGTAAGCCTCGGGCTCGCTTGTTGGGTGGGTGCCCGGTGCTGGGAAGCGGACCAAAGCTAGGCGCCGGGGGCCCGCTGCGCCTCCTGCTGCCCGGCGCGGGGGTCCCAGCCATGCCTGCCGCCGCCCAGTTTCTGAAGGCACCAGGCCCGACCTAGTCAGCTAGAAGGCCCAGAGTGCACCAACCGCCCGCGCGCCGCCGCGCGCCTCAGCCGCTAGAGCCACGCCCCCAAGTCCAGGAGCCAATCAGACGCCAGGCGGCGGGCGCGGAAAAATGACCTACACCCGAGCGCGCCGCGGTGCTCGACAGCGTCTCTACTCTTTTTGGTCCCGCCCCGCCCGGCCAGTGGCTGAGATCCTGGCGGATGGCGGTCAGGTCTGAGGCGGGGGTCTCTGCCGCGCGATCTGTTACCAGAGGTACGGGGCCGGGGCTCATCGCCTCACTGCGCGGATGGCTCTGCGCCACTTGTGTTAATTCATGGGGTGCACAACCGCGCGAGAGGAGTTCGGCCGGTCATTCACGCTTGTGTATTTGAATGGAAGCAGGCAACCTTTGGGGGTTTGGGCCCCGCAACACTGATGTCCTCTTCCCGTGGACCCATCCCTTCACATATTCCCAGGCTCTCTTGGGGAGGAGTATGGGAGAGAAGGATTGAACGAGAAGTATGAATAGAGCTGTTGTGAGCAGGCATGTTTGAGAACAGCAAATGTTTTGAATATGTGCCTTTGAGGTAGGTAAGGAAAAACTCAGAAGAAGCGGTGATCCTTGGGAAGGGAGGAGGATGGGAACTGCTCAGGCTCTCAGCTCACATTCATTCCTTTCTCTGAGAGCACTTGAGTGTTTTTGTCCCGAGTGCAGCTCATACAAAAATGAGTGAGGCTCAGGAAATGAAGGTGTCCCTGGTAGTGGGCACCTTCACGTTGAGTGGGAGCTATCGAGTCAGCAAGGAGACTAGCAAGCATGATTACTCAGACAAGAATACAACTCCAAAATGGAGGTCACAACACCTGCCTGGAGGCCAGGTAGAGATTATGACAGAGAGAAAGTAAGGCTTCAGATCGGAGCAGAGATTCAAACTAGCCGTGAGCTGCTGTCAGAATTTTATTGGGCAGCGGTTTCATCTTGTATGTTCATAGGCAAACTCAGCCTGTGAGTGTCTTCTGAATGTTTGTGAAAGCAGTAAATGAAGGGCAAATGGTTATCGGGGCCTAGACAGTTGTAAATACCCGAGTTTAGTTTTTTGAAGGAACTGGTAGGTTGCCTTCCATAGCTGCACAAGTGTTGAATGCTTAAGTCTTAATAGCTGCAGCTCTCTGCTCATGTAGAGACAAGATTGTACTTCACTTGTCAGGAGGGATTAGGTTCCACCAAATAAAAGAGCAGTAGCTTGCTCTCAGGGGCAGTGTGTTGGCACTGGTTCTCAGAAGGGTTGTTCTCAGCAGCAGAGGGCTGGGTGCCAGCTGGCAAGGCCAGACAGGGAATGCCTAAAGTCCAAAGAACATGCTGCTGGCTGTGCAACTTTCCAGAAGACCGAAGCAGGCTGGGTTGTTTGTTTGGTTTTCAATGTGAAGTACCTTAATGAAAAACAGGTTTTGACTTAGCAAAATCTAGAGCCGTTTTTTGAAAATGTTCTTAGAGAAAGCTTAGCATTATCCCCATATTTTTATCAAGGGCCTAGAAGGGAATTTCTCATGTGCCTCTGAATTGTTTCAATACATACACATTTAGTACATGGATAGTCCCTGCCCTCCAGTTTACTCCACCTGGAGTCAACGGTGGTATCTGATCAACAGATACCAGGAAGGAAAAGAATGAAACCAGGTTAAGAGACACTGGAACTGCCACTTTATATTGTAGTCAGAGAAAAGCTCATTACTGTGATAGTTCAGTTTCTGAAGTGAGTCTCCAGTATCCAGAATAACAGGCAGAAGAAGGAGTTTGTGTAAACACAGCCAAGGGAGGAACTTGCTTGAAATATAGGCTACTGTGGCTCAAGATACATCAGAGGGATGTTAAATGTCAGAGGGCAGGGAGTGTCATTCAAATCCCTTAGGGCCTTGCTGGTCATTATACATGCTGGCTTTCACTGCTCCAGACACCCCAGCAGAATTCTGAGCCAAGGGAAAAATATGATTTTAATATCCTATGAAGTACACCAATCTTTAGCAAGATCACTTTGAGTCCTGAGTAAAAATTGGATTGTGGGCCTCCCTGGTGGTACAAGGGGTTGTAGTGGCTCTATAAAGCTATCCGCAGCCACTGCAGCATAAGTTCAATCCCTGGCCAGGGAGGTGACCCATGTGGCTTAGCAGACCTCTTCTTTCTCGCCTGCTCCTCCCCTCAGCAGTGTATTTCAGATCTGCCTGTTCTGTTCCCACTCTGTCTCTGGTGAATCCTCTCACCCCACACACCTCTGGTCTGTACCCCAGTTCTTGTATGCATCGACAGATCAATCTTTAAAAAAAAAAAAAAAAGCTTCAAAATAAAAAAATAAGATTGTAAGGGAACACAACACAGGTAGAGGTGGGAAGACAGATCTGGATGTGATTGCAATGATCCAGATAATAGATTTTAGGGTTACAATGTGGGGTTGTGATATCAGAGGAAGTATAAAGGGGACATTTAATTTTGCTGAGGGGTTGATTGTGGGGTGTAAGGTATGCAAACCTAGAAAGGAGCTTTCTAAAGCCCTGCTGGAAATGCAGACCTGTGGCCTCCGGCATCACCTTGGTTCTTAGATATGGTTCCTATATACTTTCAGGAATCTTTCTCCTTTTCCTAGTTTTCTTCCCTTCAAGAAGCGTAACACGTTATCTTGGCCCACTAGGTAAGTTCCCTGACAACAGGAATTATTCTCTAGTACATGGCCAGCCTGCACAAAGCAGAATCCTTACATGAACAGATGAATCCCATTAAAACAAATACCAACATGGATGTCCTAACAAAAAAATGGGTTTTCTTTCCAAAGTACAAATTCTTCCACTAACCTCACGTAATGTATACACTTGAGTATATAACCACGCAAAACTGACAGTCATTTCAAACGAGTTGGTTTAATTCCAGGTAGTACAGAATTCAAGATAGAACAAAGATGAAGATGAGCACACTTTGGCAGGATTCTACACTGGGTTTTCTCTGACCTCACAGGTAAGGTAGAAATGGCTAAGTGAGAAGAACTAAAGATGAGCCAGTGTATGACTTCTTATTTTATTATTATTTTTTTTTTTTACAAAAGTTTATTCTTAAATGTACAACAGGCTCCAAGACACTTCATTCTAGCTATTGGCGTCGAAAGATACTATGGCAGAGAATCCACATGTTGAAATACGAATGGAATTAAGGACCACCATTGCCTCAGGCACAAGGAACATCTTACTTTTTGCCAGATTTCTTAATTCCACCTGTGGCTGCAAAAGGAGAAAAAAAAGTCTTCAGTCAGAAAAAAGTAGTTTTTTTTGGTGGAAGTCCCAGGAGGCTGACAAGGATCCTAGTAAGGCATGGCTTTCATACTGGACATTCTTGATGCCAGCATGCACAGGGCTTTACTAATGTCTATAATGGGCAAAAGTAGGATAAGGCAGGGGTACAAGTAACGGCTATCACTGGTCCGGATCTACACTGTTGTGCACATACCTTCACTTTACCCAATATAAACAACTATATGGCACACGGGATAATTTAAGATATAGATGTAAAATTGGGGCCTCCCTGGTGTTGCAAGGACTTAAGTCTCAGCACTATGAAGCTACTGCCAGCCACTGCAGCACAAGTTTGATCTCCTGCCAGGGATGTGACCCATATGGCACAGCAGACCTCTCCTACCTCACTCACTGCTCCTCTCAGCAGTGTATTTCATTCAATCCACCTGTTCTGCTCCCTACTCTGTCTCTGGTGAATCCTCCCACTCCCCACACCTCTGGCCTGCACCCCAGCTCTTGTATGCATAAGTAAATAAAATAAATCTTTAAAAAAATAGTTGTAAAATTAAGTATGCCTAATACAGGAAAAAAAGAGCCAAAAGAACTGTGACAAAATAAGGTTTAAAAAATTTAGGTGGTGCTCAATGGGAAACAAATATTATAGGACTTCGTAAATTAAAGTAAGGTTCAAGATACCTCACCTCATTTTCAAAAGGAACCTCAACAGCTAGAATCTCAGTGCTATGTGGTAAACAATAATGAATCAAACCCAGTGGGTTGGAGGTCTTGGGAAGTCCTGGAAGACTCTATTACCCCAGTCTCCATAGTTCCTAGTGTGCTTCACAGTACTAGAATATGAAAGACAACCTTGGAAGAAATAGTTTGGTGAATGTAAACAACATTTAAACAGCACACTAACAGCACCAGGCTTTCGGATTTGAAGTCTTTTTATATGAAAGCAAATTCTATTACCTAAAGAAAAGAAAGAGAAAAGTGGTGAGGACTGGGTTAAAAAAAAACAACATATGGCAATTACCACGCCAAGGAGACTGGACTTTATCCTTTAGTCTACATGTACTCAAAAGTAAAAAGACTCTGGACACAAAAGTATTTAACATCTAGGAATATTAAATCAAAAAATTGTGGGGGCTATCTGGAAACTCAACTTCTATAAATTTGTGCGTGTTAAATGAATTTTCTGTGTTTAAATTTCTGCAACCCAGACTGCAGGACACTTCATTTCCAAGCCTTGAATGGCTCCTGCTCCTTCCCGCTGTTGCTAATCTAAGACTGACTAGGGTCATCCACCACATCGGCCACAAGGAACCCGAGACCTTCAACTCCCAACGAGGCAGGAAACGGATCTGCCCGGACCAGCGTCTGATGCTCAGACGTTGGTCGGGGCTGAGCTGTGCCCAGTTTTTACTTACCCAGGGGGCCTTTCCCCGCAGCCTTCGCTTTTAGCTCCTCGAGTTTCTTCTGCTCCTCTTTCTGCTTCTGCTTGAATGCCTTATCTTCCTAGGGAGAGGCAGAGAGGGTTAACTCCAGGCGGTTCCCCAGCCCCTCCGCACACGCCCACGCCCTCACCTCGTCCATCTCCTTGGCCTGCTTCTTGGGCTGCTTCAAGGGCTTCTTCTTGCCACCTGTAGATGACAGGAGCACGCTCAGCCCTGCGTCCCTGGCTTCCCACCCACTCCACCCCGCGCCACCCCGCGCCACGGTCCCTGGCACACTCACCTTCGCGGCCGGACATGGCGACACCGCCCCTCACCCGAGACCCTGCCACCGGAAGCCGGGCCCCGGCCCTCTCTCTGCGCCGACACCTCCACGCGGCCCCGCTGATTGGCTTCTAGTCAGGAAGTGGCCCTCCTACTGCCGGAAGCGGCTCTCCGGAGGCGGGCACTACAGGGCCGGAGACCAAGTGAGTGGCAGGTGCTCGATTGGGGTTTTCGGCTCCCGCGCTTGGCACGCCAGGTACACGGTGGGAGGGTCGTCCTGCCAGGGGAGGGTCCGGAAGCCCGAGGGTGCTTAAGCGGAAGGCGCTAGACTGTGAAAGGGAAAAGCATTGCAGATAGAGGAAAGGCCGCGTGCAAAGACCTTGAAGCCTGCGGCGTTCCTGGAACCGAGGAAGGCACAGTTCGGCTGGGGGGGAAATGCGATCAAGGTGGCAGAAGTAGACGGGGGTTAGACGACTTGGAGGCCACTAGAAGGATTTTGGGTGTGCTACTTTTTGCAAAGACTTTATTCATTCGATACATTTATGTTGAGTGTGTGCTATATGTAAATAGTATTCTAGGCGTTAAGCATACAGCAATGAGCAAAAAGTGCCTGTCCTGGCAAAATTGAAACTCTAGTGGATGAAAGAGACTGTAAGTAAAGGAAGTAAGTGCAGTCCCTATCACTGGTCATGTGATACATGCCTGAAGCAAAATAAAGCTGAGATAATGGGTAAGGCTGCTGTTGTGGGCGTAGATGGTAATGACATTGCTGGCTCTGAGGTGGGGTTAGCTTAGTGTGTCACAGCAACGTCAAGAAGGTCCATGTATGCTAATAATGTGAGGTGAAGGATGTGTTTACTAACGTCATTGTGGTAAACATTTAGCAATATATATGTGTATCAGATGATCATGTTGTACATCTTAAATTCATGCAAACTTATAGGTCAATTATATCTCAATAAAGGGGGGGGCGGTGTAGGTATGTGTGATTGGAGTAGAGTGAGGAAAGGGATACTAGCAGGACATGAGGTCAGATAAGAAAGAGCTAAGGGGTGGATGCTGTAAGCCATAGAAAGGATTTTGTCTTTTATCTTGACAGAACTGGGGAGCCATTGCAGGGTTTGAGCGGAGAGAGACCTGTTCTGATCTGTGTTTTAAAAGAATTGCCAACTTCTTGTTGGCAATAGACTGTAGGGACTAGAATGGAAACAGGGAGACCTGTCAGGAGGCTCTTAGGATAATCCAGGCAAAAGATGTGGGATCATTAGGGCCAACTGGAGGCAATGGTAGGAATAAGAGAAAGGGGGGTTCTGGATTTAGAAGGAAAGTGACCCTTGCTGATGGATTGGATATGAGGTGGGAGAGGAAACAGAGTCGAGTGATGTGAGTTTTTGACCTGATTTGGACTCTTTTAAGTTCCATCAACCAAGACGAAGAGGGCTGTGGAAAAAGTGAGTTTGGGAGGGGAAGAAAAGATCCCCATTAGCCTTCCAAGCAGAGAAGTGGGTTGGACAGTTGGATAGGTGAGCCTAGAATCCCAAGGAGAGACCACAGACGAAATCAGAAAGAAAGAATTTCTTTCCTTTTTTTTTTTTTTTAAGTAATAGCATTGAGATATAATTTACATGCTATACAATTCACCTATTTAACTGTACAACTGGTGACTTTAGTATATTTACAATGTTGCACAACCATCTGTGCATCCATTTTGAACATATTTTCTTACAATTTATTTATTCATACAATAACCGGGGTACTGGCCGGAGGTGTGGGGGGTGAGAGGATTCACCAGAGACAGAGTGGGGAATAGAACAGGAGGAATGACTGAAATACACTGCTGAGGGGAGCAGCAGGAATCAGGAGAGGTCTGCTGCGCCATGTGGGTAGCTCCCTGGCCAGCTGGGGATCAAACTCGTGCTGCAGAGGTTGCAGATAGCTTCATAGGTTGCATCTTAACCCCTAGGGCCACCAAGGAGGGCCCGAAGGTAGAAATCTTTATTGAGCTTTGCTGACAAGAGTAGGGGCTGTAGTTGTGGGGCTGCAAGACTTGTGCTTTGATAAGGGGCACACCTGCAGGATTACTGTGTGCACTGGTGCTGGTATTAAGGTCAAGGAGGTTTGCCTGATGACTGAGGAATGGATGGTATGGCCCATCCCTTAGGACTTACGAATAGGACCTGGGTTCAGGTGCATACCTGCTTGAATATCTCCTTCTGTGTCTCTCAGCTGGGGCCCACTTTGGCCAGGAGACACATCCCAACCCATCCCACTTTGTTTTGTTTTGTTTTGTTGGTATTTTTTTTCAAAGATTTATTTTTTTATTTATATAAGAACTGGGGTACAGGCCAGATGCACGGAAGGGTAAGAGAATTCACCAGAGACAGAGCGGGGGGCAGAACTGACGAAATACACTGCAGGAGAGGTCTGCTCACCATGTAGGTTGCTCTGAGGCCGGGCGGGGATCGAACTGGCACTGCAGAGGCTGCGGACAGCTTCACAATGCTGTGCTCAAATGCCTGAGCCACCGGGGAGGCCCCCCACTTTGGTTTTTTTTTTTTTTCTTTCTTTTTTTCTTTCTTTTTTTCTTCTTTTTTCTCTAAAGATTTATTTATTTATTTATACAAGCACTGGGTACAGTCAGAAGCGCAGGAGGGTGAGAGAATTCACCAGAGCCAAAGCGGGGAACAGAACAGGCAGAGTGACGAAGTACACTGTGGCAGGAGAGGTCTGCGCACCATGTGGGACCCTCGCCCTGTGGCCAGGGATTGAACCAGCGCTGCAGAGGCTGCAGAGGCTGCGGGCAGCTTCGCAACCCAGCGCTCAACCACTGCGCCACCCGGGAGGCCCCCCCCCCTTTTTTTAAGAGAGCCTGAGCTTCTCTCAGTACAGGAGGATGGGAAGGAGGCTGGGATGCTTTGCCGCGGTCGCTGTTACACATCACCACATCAGGAAACCCCTTTATTTGTAATTGGTGCTCTAGTGAGCATTCCTGTTGTGTTTTCTCTCTGTGATCTGGTCTTTTGGCCTCTAGGTGTCACTCTGACAGCCAGATCAGAGCTTGGGGATTGGTTGGGGTGGGGAAATGGAGGGTTGGTTTGACCAGAGGAGGGTGCTGCTGACCCAGGTTTGCATAGGTCACCTGGCCCTCTCTATAGGGTCCTCAGAGTCACGGCTGCTCTTAGGCTTGGGCAAGGCCTGACTGGATAATGGGAGATTCCCTGTGTGTTCAGGTAATGAGAAGTAGGCGTTGTTGGGACCCAAACATCAAAGTGAGGTTGAAAAGGAAAGATTAAAGAAACCTAACCTGTTGAGCATGACTAAGGTTGGAGAGAAGGGACAAAGCTTTTTGGAAGATGAGAAATGTGAGCCTGGGAGTTGGTAACCTGCAAAGTCTTGGGTTGGAGACAGGAGGATTGGTGTGAACCCAAGAAAAGTTATTTTCTAAAGAGATCTGTGTTCTTTTGTATTTGTTCCCCGGGAATAATCTTCCCAGAAAAGAGCTAAGGAGGGAATTTTCTTCCTTGGGACCTGAACAACCTGTATTCCCTGGTAACATAAGTGAAACTCTTCCTCCTCAATGCTGAGGCAGCCCTCAGGGTGACTGAGGAGTTGTTTTTGATGGTCTTCTTTAAATTAAAAAAAAAAAAGATTAATATTTATTTATATATACAGGAGCAGGAGTGTAGGCCAGAGGTGGGGTGGGCTGGGGGGTGAGAGGATTCACCAGAGACAGTGGGGAGCAGAAAGGGTGGATTGACTGAAATACACTGCTGAGGGGAGCAGTGCACGAGACAGCAGAGGTCTGCTGTGCCCTTGGCTGGCGATAGCTTCATAGTGCTGAGACTTAACCCCTTATGCCACCAGGGAGGCCCAGTTTTGATTTCTTTTACGGAAATCATTCCTGAAATCCTCTCAGTTCCACAGTATCCCTGGGAGACTTAATGAATCTTTGTGGACTTTGTTAGCATAGATACAACTCAGGTGTAGAACTTTGACATTATCGAAAAACTAGTACCAGGATTCTCATCCAAGTCACAACACAGTCCTGGGGATGCCAGAAACAGGTGGATGGACTAGTTTGTTGGCATCATGGATGAGGTGGAAGGCATGATGTCCTAAATGTGTCCCCTAAACATTCCATTTTCCGAGACCACCTGGGGGGAACCTACCCTCAGTGGCTGCTGTCTGTAGGCCCAACAGAGTGATTCTTCAGAATTAGTCTGTTCCGGCCTGTCTCTAGGTCTTGAAAACTGACTTAATGCTAGTTTTGTTCAGTTGTGAGCTGATCTGTCTGACATTTTCCCCACAGATTTCCTGATGACAGGGAGCAGCCCCGTGTTTGCCATGCAGCACGTTGTAGGTGTGCCCCCTGTGATGGTACGGAGAGGCCTCCTTAGAAGTGACTTATGTATGAGCAGGACTTTCTGCAGCCCAGGCCCCAGCCAGCCCAAAGAGAAAAGACCTGAGGAGATGGCCTTGGGGCTATACAACCGCCTCACGGTGCTGGGAAGAGCCCTGGGACACAGCATTCAGCAACGAGTCTCTTCCACAGCCAAGACATGGTGGGACAGATATGAAGAGTTTGTTGGACTCAGTGAGGTTCGAGAGGCCCAGGGAAATGTGACTGAGGTGAGGAGGGGAACCAGGGTGGTGGACCCTGCCCTCTGACTCAGGAAATATGACCTGGTAGATCCTGCCAAACAAATCACCAGCCACGTGGTGTTGGGAAGCCACATCCAGAAAGACCTTTTCTTGAACAGATACCCCTGGTAGATTGACTTCTTTTTCACAGCCTAGGTTTGATACTACTGGGGTGTAGATCGCTGTATAACTGTAACCAACGATGGTCATTCACCTCAATTCTGTTAGGCCAACATGCTCTTCCTTCATTGACTATTTGAGGGTGGGTGGTAAGAGCTGCTTGGAGCTGCTGCCCTGCAGTGTCCTCAAAGCCCCATGTGTAATTAGAATACTCCTTGTGAAAGTTGGGCAAGGAAAAACGCCATCCTGTGAGGTGGAAAGGCTGTGGTTGGCAGCGGAAACACATACTGTCATTTCTGTGCCTACTCCTGCTAAAGTGTAGGCCAGTGTAGTAAAGTGGAAGGACCTAGAATTCTGTTTGTCTCCTCTCAAAACTTGGGACCTTGGCTGAGGTGGGGTTTCTGGGTCTGTAAAATGGAGCAATGCCTCTCTTGGCATTTTTGCAAGGCATACATAGCTAACATGCCTGAGCTAGCTTAAGAACATAGCTCCTTTCTGTAGTTTGTGTCACATCACAAACTATTTTGTTAGCTATTTTCATTGTTAGCTATTGTTAGCTATTTTCAGGTTTCTCAGAGACATATTATTTCTACTTGAGTGGATTAATCTGGTGGTTCTGATAGGCGTGGCTGGGGGCTGCACTTTGAGAACCACTGGGTGAGCCTGGATTATGTGTCTGAAGGACTCTGTTTCTAACCTCGGTACTGACACCCAGTGACCTCTTCTCAACCACAACCTTGGGAAGAGCTGAGCCTCTGGCTCTGGGTGTGGAAAGAAGGGGCTGATAGCTCTGTGGTTCTTTCTGCAGGCAGAGAAAGTGTTCATGGTGGCTCGAGGGCTTGTCCGAGAGGCTCGGGAACACTTGGAGGTACAGCAGGCCAAGCTGAAGGAGGTGAGGGACCGCTTGGACCGCATCTCCAGGGAGGATAACCAGTACTTGGAACTAGCCACTCTGGAACACAGGATGCTGCAGGTAAGCACCTCAAGAAGCAGCGCTTCCTCTCCTGGACAGGAACCCTGACTGGCCTGGTGGTTAGAGACCTGGTAAGGAGGTGGAGAAACTCTTACGGGGGAGACTGGGCTCCAAATTTCTTTTTTTTCTTTTTTTTTTAGATTTATTTATTTATTTATACAAGCACTGGGAACAGTCAGAAGCGCGGGAGGGTGAGAGAATTCACCAGAGCCAGAGCGGGGAGCAGAGCAGGCAGAAGGACCGAAGTACACTGCTGAGGGGAGCAGCGGGCGGCAGGAGAGGTCTGCACGCCATGTGGGACCCTCCTCTGGTGGCCGGGGAGCAGCCGGGGATCGAACCGGTGTTGCAGAGGCTGCGGGCAGCTTCGCAACCCAGCGCTCAACCGCTGCGCCACTGGGGAGGCCCTGAGCTCCAAATTTCTGAGAAGGGAGTTCCATGGAGGGGTCTGGCTCAGAGAGCACCAGACATTTTTGATGGACATTCTGTAGGCAACAGTCTATCTGGTCAAACAAAGGAATATTCAGGTAGGAAGATGGAGCGACAACCTTGGCCATCCCCTATTCCTTTGTTACTCCCTGCTTCCATGACCTAGTTTATGCTCCATCATTCATTCAGCATGTTTCTGGAGCACGTTCTATGTGCCAGGCACAAGACTGAGGCTTCAGGGACATAGTGGGACATTTGCTGTGGCTACAGCTGCAGGGCCACATTGCAGCTGTGTAATACAGATTTGCTTCTGCAGGAGGAGAAGAGGCTTCGCACAGCCTATATGCATGCTGAAGACTCTGAGCGAGAGAAGTTCTCCCTCTTTTCTGCAGCTGTGCGGGAAAGTCATGAGAAGGAGCGAACCCGAGCAGAAAGGACCAAGAACTGGTCCCTCATTGGATCTGTCCTGGGGGCCCTGATTGGTGTGGCAGGCTCTACCTATGTGAACCGTGTGCGGCTGCAGGAGCTAAAGGCCTTACTCCTGGAGGCACAGAAGGGGCCTGTGAGTCTCCAGGAGGCCATCCGAGAACAGGCATCCAGCTACTCCCTCCAGCAGAGGAACCTCCAGGACCTTATGGCAGATTTAAGGGGCCTGATACAAACTGGGCCAGGGCAGAGCTCTGGATCCCAGGCAGGTACTTCCCCCACCCGAGACAGAGACACAGCTATCCTTTCAGCTGCTTTGAAAGAGCAACTCAGCCATTCCAGGCAGGTCCATTCATGTCTAGAGGGTTTACAAGAGCAGCTTGATGGCCTGGAAAAGACTTTCAGCCAAATGGCTGGGGTGGTTCAGCTTGCAAAGGCTACAGCACACCCAGGCCTGGTAGAGCCCACAGAGGGGGCCCTACCCAGCTCCTTACTGGAGCACAGAAGTTTGGTCTTGGCGCTATCAGACACAGAGCAGAGGCTCGAAGCCCAGGTCAACAGGAACACCATCTACAGCACCCTGGTCACCTGTGTGACATTTCTAGCCACGCTACCAGTGCTCTACATGCTGTTCAGGGCTAGTTAACTCCCGGACCCTTCTCCAGAGGTCTGTCTGAAAGGATAGGTGTGGATGTGGATTTAATAAGAGAATCCCAGCAGTGAAGTGAGCCTTTGGAGGTAGAGTCTGAGCACCATCTGTGTGGCTCACCAGCTGATGCACTTTACTTTTTAGGCAACACTTACTTACATGAATTATCAAAACTTTGTGCTAATATCCAATTAAAATGTCGTTGAGTTTGTACTATTTAAAATAATTTGTATGAGACTGAGTTTTGTTCAATGAAAAATGACATTTGGGACTTGGGGGTTAGACCTGGCGTTAGGCTAATTGCCTCTTCTAGTTTCTCATCTCCTCTTGGTCTTGTCCTCATTCAGGACTGTTTTGGATCCACTTATGCTTGGGGCCTGGTTTTCAGGCCTGCCCTCTTGCCCAACCCTCCTGAGTCAGTGATGTGGGGGTTCCAGCAAGTGGAACCTAACCATTGATGGCCATGGCTACTGCTGTCCACCCATTGATGGCCGTGGCTACTACCCCTCCTGGATCACTCTGTGGTGGGGAGAACCTCCTGGTTCTAGTGCTGGAAGAGTGAGCATGGCAGAGCAGGGAAAAGGCGTTGAGGAATGGTTGATAATCATATTGCTGGGGACATAATTATAAGAATTGGTGTAGAGAATGCTTTGGGTAGCTCCAGCATGGGACGCGGGCTGGTGTCCTCCCCAACACAGCCTAGGTATGGCCTTGAAAGGCATGGGCAGAGCTCAGCCCACCAGTGTGAACAGAGAGGCAATGAAGGAGAGGGGTCTTCTCAGAGGTGGGGGTACAGTAGGGCATGGAGGTATACTGCTGAGGACCCTGATCTCCATTTTTTTCTTTTAAAAAATCTTAGGTGAGCAGCAACCTTCGTCCCCTAGGGTTAAATGGACATGGGTGGCCTTGTTGCCCTTGAGTAAACAGGAGCAGTGGGAGGCACTCAACTCATGCTAGAGTATTGGAGGGCTTGCTAGTTTGGCACATGGAGCACCCAACCTCCTTTCAGACCCTCAGTCGAGGCCTATGGAAGTGTTTCTCATAAAGTGCCCTCCCTTCTTGGTATCTGGTTGGATATTCAGTCACTCCCTCCTTGCCACTGTTTTCTTTGTATGGCTCTCTGGGGTGGCATGGGATAAAAATAACACTTGGGTGCTCACACTTCTGAAGAATAGGAGTTGATATATCTGTATCAATGAGGGGTGCTACAGTACTGAGAAGTCCCAGGTCCCTCTCGGGTGAGGAAGGTCCTGAAGGGTGTGTACCTGTGGAGATGGAGAGGGGAGGCTTCCAGGCATGTGGAAGGGGCCCCCACATGCAGCACAGGTAGGAAAGTCAAGGTAGGTGAGGGGCTTGAGGCAGATTGACCTGGCTGAGGTGATGATGGGTGTGGGGGAGTTGTAGAGTATAAGGTTGGAGTGCCAGACTCATAGGCACCTGGGTACTCTGATGTCTGAGGGGGGTGGGGAGAGAACTGAGGGGGGGGTGCCATGCTGTTGCAGATGAGGTACTGAACAGGTGGTCCCAGGTGCTGGAAGTGTTAGGGGGAAAAGGATGTCCCAAAGCTATTTCCATATAGGCTTTGTGGACTCCACCCCCACCCCAGGTCAAAGCCAAAGACACTGGGAACTCCAAATCCCATCACCACCAAAGGGAAGGTGGCTGGGACCTGAGGGTGGGGTTAAGCAGCCAGGTGGATATAAAAGGCAGACACGTGGGCTTTGGGGCCCCCATTTTTGGCTCTCCGCCAGCTCGCAGCGACCGGCCAGCTCTGAGTGACTTTGGGTTTCCAGGTCGTCGGATCGGGTAGGACGCATTAAAGACTTTATTTCCCTATTTTCTCCCTGAGTTGTACATTTTCCTTATTTCCTTTCCTCTTGTAAATAAACCTTTTATTAACCTTTTTGTGTGTGTCTGTAGTAGAGTATTCACAAGTCCCTTTAAAGCGCGCGGGTGAGGACCCACAGCCAGGAACCCGTTTAATATCGGGGTTGCTCTATAACAGAAGTTTAGAGGAATAAGAGTGAGCAGAGGAGTTGGGAAGGGAAGAATTTGGAAGGCAGAGTCTGGTGGATGAGATGGAAGGGAGACCCTTGTGGGGTGGGAGGTGGAAGAAGGTGCCTGTGGTGCTAGTTCTTCAGCTAGTAATGTGGATAACCTGACTGAGGCTTCCCCTAGACCGTGGAGGCTTTGGAGACTTCCAAGGTAAAGTATGTGTGACAAACTTTGCCTTCTAGGAGGCTGTCTTAATTGCCTTGAGCTAAAGTTCTCCAAAAGTCCTAATGGGACGGGCCTGGTCCTGCCTCTTGAATTTGCAATGTGCTGAGGGCACAACTGGGCCGCAGGGAAAACACTTCTGCCTAGTGGTTCTTCCTTGGGAAGACCCAGGTATTTGTCTGAGAGGGAGTCCAGACTTGCCCAAGGCTTCTCAGCTTGGGGTGGGTCCTGGGAAGAAGGGAAGGAAATGATGTGCGCTTGCTGGTGCACCGTTGCAGCCGGTGAGTCCTCCTTTAACAGCGGGCTAAGTATGGTATCACCCCCACTGCCGGTGAGCAAACAGACTTGTGTGTGTTTGTTTGAGGGGGGAGGGATGGTCAGGTTACTTGGCTTAGTGATGGCGCAAACCCAGGCCCAACCCCAAAGCCTGTGCTCTTCCCGAACAGCCAGAGGTGGGGGCCGGAAGGAGGGGCTGGCTCTTGGGGAGTCCCGGGAGTAGGGGCGGTGGGCAGACCCGGTACTCTGGGGAGAAACAAGGCTCCTAGTTCAGGTCAAGAAAGTTGGAGGACGACCACAGGAGGCGGCACCGGGAGGGACAGCGCGCGGCCGGGGCGGCGCGCGGCGGGGGTGGTGTCTAGCTAACCGGCCGGCCAGGTGAGCGATGTGGGTCCGAATCTGCGCTGACGAGGCAATAAGGGACGCGGCAGCAGCACCACCACAGCTGGGGGTGCGCGGCGCGACCCCCGCAACCAGCCCTGAACGTCCCAGCCCGGGAGGGTTCCCAATTCCGGTTCCAGCTCGGCTCGCAGGTGAGGCCCGGCGGGGCGGGGCGGGGCCGCCCGCGCCCGCGCTCCACGCGCCCCCCCGACCCCGCGGCGCTCGGGTCGCCCTGGCTACCGCCGGGTGGTGGCCCGTCCCCCGCGAGGGTGGGTCGAGCCCCCGCCCCCGGCGAGCTCTGAGCCCGCCGGGCTGGAATGCGGGGTCCGGGCGGCCGGGCCGCGCGCCGGCTCTCGCGGCAGCTTCCGGCCTGGCGGGGCTGGGCGGGGGGGGCGGCCGGCGGGCGCGGGGGAAGGCGCGGAGCCCGGCCGGCCGGCGCGGCTTTGTCTCCTTTGTTCCCGGCGTGGCAGTGCCGCGGCGGGAGGGGCGGGCGGCGGGCGCAGTTTTCCGCCCCTCGGTCTCCGGGTAACAGCTGCGGCTCCGCCAGACCCACCTCCCGGGGCGCGGGGCGGGGGAGCGAGGCCGCCGCGCGCAGATCCGGAGTCCCCGGGCCGGCGCCCGCCGCGGCGCGCTCTTCCCGCGGGCCCGGCCGGCGGTGAGTGCGGGGCCCGCGAGCGGGGCGGGGGCGGGCGGCGCGCCCCGCGGGGGAAGGGCCCGCTGCGGTGCGGATCCCGCCCGGCAGGGGCCGGCCGGGGAGTGGTGGGCGGCCTCGGTGCCGAGAGTTGGGACCACACTTCTCCGCGCGAAGGGAAACTCTGGCGGCGCCGCCTGTAACGCGATTGGGAGACGGAGGAGGTGGAGCTGCTCCTCCGCGCCCCCTCCTCGCCGCCGCCCGCCGCCTCAGCCCGGGACCGGCCGGCCCCTTCCCCGCCCTCCCAGGACCACTGGTAGGGTGCTTGTCCCTCGCCTCTGGGAGGAGGGGGCGGTCTGGGGCGAGCCCGATGGGGAGGATTAGCCTTACCGCGGAACCCACAGCCCTTAAGGCTGCGCTCCGCAATGCAATGCTGACAAAGGCGGACGGTGAACCTTTTGCTTCACACCCCCCGAGGGGGCCTCCCTCGGCACCCAGGCGCAGGTGGTGGGTGATTGATGAGCGCCCCGTGAGTCCTCGCAGGTGCCCTGTAAAAGGGTGGATTCCCGCACCCCACCTCAACGCACAGGGCAGCAATGTGCAATACTGCACTGTCAATGAGTAACTCGCCTCCCTCCTGGACCCTGGGAGTCAGGCAGGAGGGCGGGAAGGAAATCCCCTTTCTGCCCCCCCCCCCCACCTCTGGACTCCATCAATGAGGATTAGGGTGTGACCTCTATGCAGGCTTGGAAGGGCAGATTTTGTGAGCCCCTTTGATTGGTGAGGACAGCCCCCAGGAGGGCCCTGGAGGGATTTGCTGTTTGCAGACAAAAGTTAGGCAACCAGGGATCTTGCTCAGAGGTCCAGAGAAGAGTGGGCTCAGAAGGGATCTCAAGGCAGACCTGATCAGAGACAGGGTTAGACTTTGCCTGTGAGCCTGGACAAGACCTGCGATCTGGGGAGTAGGCAGGATATCCTGGCTGTGCAAGTTGGGGACCCGAGGCCTGATTCCTAACTAGCCTTTTCAGTCTGCTATGGCCTGGTCATTAACAAAAGTGGGGCAGGTACCTTGATGTTTGAGTGACCAAGTGGTTTCTGAGGGGTGTAGACCCTATATCTTCCCTGCTGGCTGTGTTTCCTTGGCTGTGAATTAGGAGTCCTTTCAACATGCTTGGAGCACCTGCTCTGTGCTAACATCTGTCCTAGTTAGCACAGAGCCTCTGAAACAAAAGCCACAGGCCCTGCCTTCGAGGAACTTCATGTCCAGAGTTGGAGGGTAACACAGGGAGACAAGTGGCCTTGGTTGTTGCCACTATAATGCCAGGCACATACCCTATCATGGATCACATTTACTGGTTGGAGCAGTCCTGCCTCCTGTACTACAAATGGGAGACCAAAGGCTCTTAGAACCTGGGGCTGAGCTGCACTTTGCACTATACAACAGAAGGGCTGGGTATGCCCCCGCCCACTCCATCCCAGTAGGAGCCTGGGGGCAGGGAAGGCTCTCGGGGAGAGTTTGGTTGGCTGTCTAGAGCTAATGGGATGGAGAGGGAGTGGGCATTCCTGGCTGTGCAGCCTGTGTGACAGCAGGGAGGAGTGTGGAAAGCCCACAGTTCAGGCCAGCAGGAACGAAGAGCATGTGTGGGGGAGCAGGGGCAGAATGGGAAAGAGTGAGGACTGGAGGGATTTGACCTTTATCCTTCAGCCCCCAGGCTGCCCCTAACACTCTGAGGGGAGGAATGTGTGCTGCTTGATGATCCTGTGAGGTGGGAGGGGTTAGACAAGAGGTGCTGTGTGTGTGTGTGTGTGTGTGTGTGTGTGTAGGGGACTGCTCTATGCCTGTGGCAGAGGTTTGGGTGAAACATGTATGCCCAATGAGAAGGAAAAAAAGGTCACTGCCCCTCTTTTCCTCCTCCCTTGCCCTTGGTATGTGGAGGAGAGGAGGGACCCTGTTTCATCAGAGGACAGTGATAGAAGAAACTTTTCTTAGTGGTTCAGCCTCTCCTCTGCAGGGAGCTGTTCTGATCCTGCCCATCCTTTTCCTGTGGGCCACTTGGCCCAGTTGTGATTTTACATTTGGGGAGTGTCTTGGTTGCTGCCCCTTGAGGGCTGGAGAAACTTGGCATGCACTAGGCTCTGAGCAAATGTTTGTAAGTGAATGAAAGCATGAGTGTCAGACTGACCACAGGCCCCTCTGCTCAAGGTGTCCCTGGGTGTGAGGTGGCAGGAGGGCGTGAGCTTCAGCTGAAAGCAGGGGTGGCCTGCCCATCCTCAGGCAGTCACTGTCTTCTGGGAGGAAGAAACTTTCTTTCCCCCTCCCTTGGAAAAAGGTGGGGGGGGGTACTCCTGGGAAGCCAGGCCTTGCCATAGTGCTGGGCTTCTTGCCGGGTTCACGAATCTTGCTGCCCCCTTCCCATCCCCACCCCCTCGGGTGGCAAACAGAGGCCGCCTTGTTCCAGCTCCCATAGAGCTGCCCTGTTCTCTGCACACTAAAAATGGAAACCCCCAAGCTATTTTGGGAGCAGTGCCCAGCCAGGCTGTGACCACAGCTCCCCTGCTCCCACCGGGCTGCTGGATGGTCCTCTGAGCCTTGTGCCCAGCCTAGCTGACTCTGAGGCAGCCTCAGAGGAGCACCCTGCAGGGGCTTGGCTGGGAGGAGACAACCTGGACCTGGGCCTGGGCCACAGGAAGCTCCCGGGACACTCTACACAGGCAGACTGGCATCTGGTGGCAGGAGGGGCTGGGAAGCGGGGCCTGTGCACAGGCAAATAGGGAAATGTCCCCTGGCCTGGGGCAGATGACCTGTCCTAGCACTTTTACTATTTTGGCACTCCTGGTTTGGGACCACTGGGGCCTGGAGAGGTGGTGTTACTTTAGTTTCTCAGTCTTAGTAGGCCTCCATTGAGGCCTTTAGAGAGGGGATGAGAGCAGAGCAGCTGCACCATACACCATACACACAAATGACCTGTTCCCTGGTTCTGCTCTGAACTACAGGGGAGGAAATAGTGAGATGGTCTGGCTTCCAGAGCCCGCTAGGATTTAGGGCTTAAACCCTGGAAGTGTGCATGAGTCTGTCTTGTGTGGGTATCTAGAAGGTGGTGTGTATGGTTGGTGGGTGGGGGTGACATGTGCCTGTATGGAGTATGTTTTCTGCATGTTTGGGGTGTTTTCCACATGTAAGGAGTTTCTCTGTGTGGAAGTCTTTGTGTAGGTGACTACATGTGAGTAGGATGTCGGTGTAGTATGTCTGCCTATGTGTCAGTCTCTGTGTTGTGTGTACAGATTGTATCTGCAAGCATCTGTGTGTGCATGGCATGTGCAGGCAGGGTGCATGGTGTATGCAAGCATGTGTCTGCTTAATGTGCTGGGGCCAGTTTGATCTGAGACAGCCCCTGGCCTGTGTTGAGGGCATGTACCCATGTTGACAGGGAAGAGTTTGGACAGAGGGTGAGAATGGGAGAGTGCTGAGAAAAAAGGCAAAAGAAGGGACAGGGCCAAGCTCAGGGCCTGATTGTGCCTTGCCAGTGATGGGGCGCTTTCCTAGCTGCCCTTTCCCAGGCCCTGATGGTGCCTGGTTCCTCTGCTTTCCTCCTCCCTGTGTGGGCTCTACGGAGGCATCCCCTGTGGAATGTGTTTGGTGGCTTAGGGCCAAGCTGGGCCCAGTTCCATCAGCAGGCTGGGCAGCAGGGAGGGGGTACCTCTGTGCTGTTTCCATGTTGGGGAGCCCAGGACTCCCACATGCCTGCAGCCCAGCCCCCAACTTCATATCTGCTTTCTCCCTGGCTAGGTGACTCCCACACAGGTCATGCTGTTGTCTTCTAATCCAGCCGGCCCTACCAGGTGAGCCTGACCTCAGACCTAGGCATCTGGGAGCAGTGTGACTCCCATATCTGCTGAGGGCACTCCAAAGTGGGGTCCAGTCTTTCAGGCCCCATCCCTATGGCCTTCCAACTCCTTCTTCTCTCTGGCCTGTTGGTTCTGTGGTTAACTCCCATCTGCATTCCTCTCCTGAAAGGCCCCTTAGCTAATTCTTGCCCTGTTCCAATATATGGATAGCCTATGGGACCTTGCTCTTTCTCTGCATTACCTAGAAAACTGACATCCATGCGGAGGGGGTCCTCTCCCTCCTCAGGGTTCTAAGCCGCTGCTGCCCATCACCTGCTCTCCTACCACTTCTAGGCCCTTGTCCTTGGGGATGGGATATTTCCCACATCTTTACCCCTCACCCTTAGATCCTAGGCAGGGCAGGGTGAAGGGGGGGTGGGGTACAAGTCTCCTGAGAGTTTAGTGCTTGCAGAGAACCACGAACATTGACATTTCCAAAAAGTATAAGTATGGTTGGAAGGTTTTCCTGGACCACAGTGTTCACCTAAGCCTAGTCCTCGACTCTGTGCCTCTCTGTGTCCCTTGGTAGTGTCACAAGCCCTAGCCTACACCAGTGGCCTCGTGGTGATCAAGTGTCCCTGTGAGTCGCTCTCAACTTCTCTCCCTACCAGGTGACCATGCCTGCCCTCGGCCCAGCTCTTCTCCAGGCGCTCTGGGCCGGGTGGGTTCTCACCCTCCAGCCCCCCCCACCAGCTGCTTTCACTCCCAATGGCACGCACCTGCAGCATCTGGCACAGGATCCCACCTCAGGCACCCTCTACCTAGGGGCCACCAACTTCCTGTTCCAGCTAAGCCCAGGGCTACAGCTGGAGGCCACGGTGTCCACTGGCCCTGTGCTGGACAGCAGGGACTGCCTGCCACCTGTGATGCCTGATGAGTGCCCCCAGGCCCAGCCCACCAACAACCTCAACCAGCTGCTCCTGGTGAGCCCAGGGGCCCTGGTGGTATGCGGGAGCGTGCACCAGGGAGTCTGTGAGCAGCGGCGCCTGGGGCAACTAGGGCAGCTGCTGCTGCGACCAGAGCGGCCTGGGGACACTCAGTATGTGGCTGCCAATGACCCTGCAGTCAGCACGGTGGGATTGGTGGCCCAGGGCTTGGCTGGGGAGCCCCTCCTTTTTGTGGGGCGGGGATATACCAGCAGGGGTGTGGGAGGTGGCATCCCTCCTATCACTACTCGGGCCTTACGACCACTGGACCCCCAAGCTGCTTTCTCCTACGAGGAGACTGCCAAGTTGGCTGTGGGCCGCCTCTCTGAGTATAGCCACCACTTCGTGAGCGCCTTTGCACGCGGAGCCAGCGCCTACTTCCTGTTTCTTCGGCGGGACCTGCAGGCTCAGTCTAGGGCCTTTCGAGCCTATGTATCCCGTGTGTGCCTCCGGGACCAGCACTACTACTCCTATGTGGAATTGCCTCTGGCCTGCCAAGGGGGTCGCTACGGACTGATCCAGGCTGCAGCTGTGGCCACATCTGGGGAGGTGGGCCAGGGAGAGGTGCTCTTTGCAGCCTTCTCCTCGGCTGCTCCTCCCACTGTGGGCCGGCCCCCATCAGCAGCTGCTGGGGGATCTGGAGCCTCTGCCCTCTGTGCCTTCCCCTTGGATGAAGTGGACCGCCTTGCTAATCGCACACGAGATGCCTGCTACACTCGGGAAGGCCGCACCGAGGATGGGGCTGAGGTGGCCTATATTGAGTATGATGTCAATTCCGACTGTGCACAGCTGCCCGTGGTGAGTCCCCACACCACCCCTCTCTCTGAGGCCACTGATCAGGCATTTGCTGCCTACTGCCAAGCAGCTGCCCTGGGAGTTTGAAGGGAAGCTGGTGGAGTGGGGGCTGATCGGGTCAATGGATGTTAAATGCATCCTTTGTGTCTAAGCAGTGGAGAGTTATCTTATGATAAATGTGGCATTTAGAGGGGGGCAGAGAGCCATGTAGGGGGGACCTTGAGTGGGTGCTGAAGGGACATTTGTATAGGTGGACTGACTGTTTGGGGTTCCAGGGTGTGAGGCCACAACCCAGAATGTGGGGGAACGGGACCTATTGTTTTAGGTTCTTGAGCAAGAGAGGCAGGTAAGGTTGAGACTTGTTTAGCTTTAGCCTCAGGATGTATGAAGAAGGGGAGAAGCTGTACTCGGGGGTCTGAGTCAGTGAGAGGTGGGAGGGACCTAGGTGTGTGGACTCAGAGATGAAGATGCAAGCTGCGAGAAACTTTGGAAAGGTGGTCCAGGAGCATGCATAAACTAGAGGAAGTACTTTCGAGACCAGGAATGCTAGACGATGGGACCCCAGATGGGGGTGACCAGAACAGGGGTGAGGAATAACCATAGACTACAGGAGGCAGGGCTAAGGATGTGGCTGTGGGAGGTATTGTCAGAGAGGGCCAGGGATAAGTTTGTCTGGGGACTCCTAAGAGATATGGGAGGGGAATAGGTGGGATGGAAGGAATGAGGTGGTTCCAGAAGGCCCAGCAGAGACATAATTGTTCAGGGAGGGCTGGAAGAGAAACTGGCAGAGGGGACGGGGTTGTCCTGGGAGAATAGGCAGGGAAGGTTATCCAGGGAGGGTGCTTCTTGCTGCTCGCAGGACACCTTGGATGCTTATCCCTGTGGTTCAGACCACACACCCAGCCCCATGGCCAGCCGTGTCCCCCTGGAAGCTACACCAGTACTGGAGTGGCCAGGGATCCAGCTAACAGCTGTGGCAGTCACCATGGAGGATGGACACACCATTGCTTTCCTGGGTGATAGTCAAGGGCAGCTGCACAGGGTAAGTCCACCAGAAATACTGGGCCCTACCCCAGAGCCTTGAGGGTTCATGCTGCTAGGGACCTCTGGGGCTGGGATTTGGGATCTGTGATGTGCTATTCTTCCCAGGGCTGAGTGGTATGACCCATACTGCTTCAGAGAAATCCTACTTGTAATTAGGATGACAGGGGAGGGCCTTGGGTCTGTGGCCATGAACTTAGGTCCCCAACCTTGTGGTCTCTGATCTTAGGTCTACTTGGGCCCGGGCAGCGATGGCCAACCATACTCCACACAGAGCATCCAGCAGGGCTCTGCAGTGAGCAGAGACCTCACATTTGATGGGGCCTTCGAGCACCTGTATGTCATGACCCAGAGCACAGTGAGTGCCATGCACAAGTCAGGGCATGGCTGTGGGGAGGGGCCTTGAGCGGGGAAGGGAATTGTGTGTGGATGAAACTTTGGTGTTTGCATAGCTGGCCTCAAATCCTCTTTGCTGTCATAGCTTCTCAAGGTTCCCGTGGCCTCCTGTGCTCAGCATCTGGACTGTGCATCTTGCCTTGCTCACAGGGACCCCTACTGTGGGTGGTGTGTGCTCCTTGGCAGGTCTGTGCTCCACTGACTCTTGATCCTTTCTCTTCCCTAGCCCCAACCCCAGTCCTAGCTTCATACCCTCCAGGCTTTTGCATAATAACCCTGTCCAGGATTCTGGTGCTTGGCCCTTGACTCAATTCCTGACCCCTGGATTCCCCAGTCCCTAGTTCCCATCCTCCATCCCGGGTGTCAGTGCCTTGCCAGAGCAGACATAGCCTGGTGTCATGACCCACTTGAGGGTCCTGCCCAGTCCCAGTATTATATGTATTCCTGCCCCCTGAACATGCAGTGGCCCGTGAGGGTCACAGGTGGACGCAAGTTTTTCTCACCCAGGTGTAGTCGCCGTTCCGAGTGCTCTCGAGGCCACGGCCCAGAGCAGTGGCTGTGGAGCTTCCAACCTGAGCTGGGCTGTCTGCGAGTGATCGCCATGAGTCCTGCCAACATCAGCCGAGAGGAGAGGAGGGAGGTGAATGACCAGAGTAGATGGGGCCTGTTGAGGAGGACTCTGGTGATGGGTCAAGACCTTGAATTTTGGTATCAGATGCACCAAATGCCACATGACCTTGCATAAGTCACTTCTCTTGGGACCAGATGGAGACATCTGTTACTAACCGAGACCAGAGGGTGTTTGTGAAGGCTCGGGTCGGTTGCTGCCCACATTGGGTGCCCCATAAATTCAAGACCTGGTCTGTTTCCCAATGGCCCTGATAGCATTTTCTGGACTTTCTTGATAGGTTTTCCTGTCAGTGCCAGACCTGCCATCCCTGTGGCCTGGGGAGTCATATTCCTGCCACTTTGGGGAACACCAGAGTCCTGCCCTGCTGACTGGTTCTGGTGTGATGTGCCCCTCCCCAGACCCAAGTGAGGCCCCAGAGCTGCCAAGAGGAGCCGGTGGGTGAGAGAAGGGGCCAGCCCCACGGTCTGGGAGCCCCACCTTCTTCCCCTCTTGCTCCAAGGGGCTGTGGTGGGGTGAGGTGTGCAGTGGATTTCTGCCCAGTGGACTGTGTTCCCCCAACCCTGGATGCCCCTCTCCATTCAGGGTTCTACCCAACTCTGTGGTCTTGGGATGTCTGCTCCAGGTCTGAGTGCCCCTCCCACTCCTCAGTCTTGACCCTCTCTCCCCCCTTTGCAGACCATGTCTCCGTGAACGTGGAGGTCAGGTTTGATGCTGTTGTCATTGTCCAAGCTTCCCTCTCCTTCTATGACTGTGTGGCAGTCACTAAGCTCCGCCCATCTGCACAGTGAGTTCCTCACCCTGACGCCATGCCCCTGGGCCACCCCATGTCAAGCCCAGCTGTGTCACAGTTGTGCTCTGTGCAGGTGCCAGGCCTGTGTGAGCAGCCGCTGGGGGTGTAACTGGTGTGTCTGGCAGCACCTGTGCACACACAAGGCCTCTTGTGAAGCTGGGCCCATGGTGATGAACCAACAGGTGAGTGTGACTCCTGGCTGGGCCACATGGGGGACATGGGTTTCCCTTTTTGAGGGTTTCTCTGATGGCCCAGGGTTGTGTGCCTGCCTGCCTGCCCATGTGAGGCTCTGTCATAAGCACCTGAGCTGTTGTGTGTGTGACCCACTTGCTGGAGAATGGCTGCTCATCTGTCCCGCCTCTCTTGGGAGAGGATGTTTGTAGCTTAGAGGCAGGGAGGTATGGGCCTCATGCCCCACCTCAGCACAAATGCCCCTGGAGCCTTCCCTCCCCTTTCTCCTTTGGAGAATTAATGGGCTGTTTTTGTTTTTCTTTTCTTGGTCTCCTTTCCCCTTAACACACCCCTTGCCTGCCTTCCACCTGCTCCCGCGCCTGCCTGCTGAGTGGCCCTTCCTGTCTTTCTCTGCCTCCCTCTTCAGAGCCTGCTTCTCTCCCCAACCCTTCCTGCAAGAGATGTGCCCACCCCCTTCCCACCCACAGCCCCCAAGGCCACATTCACCCCTGCCCCTGACACCCTTCCCAAGGAGCCTGGGGCTCTCTCTACAGCCGCAGGCTCGGATATCCCACCTGAGGCTAGGCCTTCCCTGCTCAGCCCCTGGGGACCACAGGCAGGCCCCAGCCCCATACCTGATTCAGCATCCACAGAGTCACCTCTTCATGAGGAACCTCCCCCTCCTAGCACCCCCAATAGACCTGGAACTGCTGTCCCTGCCTCCATTGACTTTGGACCCACAGCCACACCAGAGGACCTCTCCATCTCCCACCCATCACCCTCAGATGCAGTAGCACTGCCCCCTGCCCTTGCAGACCCCGACTCTGAGGCCCTCCCCTCTGTGGTACCCCTGGACCAGCCCCCCGGCACTGCTACTGCCACCACTTTCCCAGGGGCCGCTGGCTCCACGAAGCCTGCTCTGGACTGGTTCATGAGAGAAGGCGGCGAGCTTCCAGAGGCGGACGAGTGGACAGGGGGTGACACACCCGCCTTCTCCACTTCCACCCTCCTCTCAGGTGATGGAGACTCGGCTGAGCACGAGGGCCCTCCTGCCCCCCTCATCCTCCTGTCCAGCCTCGACTACCAATACGACACCCCCGGGCTCTGGGAGCTGGTGAGGCCCAGCCCAGGATGGAGGACCTGAGGGAGGCAATGTGGGGCATTCTCAGGTCCTTCCCTGCCTTGTGACTGTGCATTGGGAGGGACTGAGGGGCAGGGTGGGATGTGCAGCCCCACACTGGCCTGGCCTCTGGGGTTCTGTGTGGGCAGAACTGAGGTGGCAGGGTGGACTCCATAGACTGCCTTTTTCTTGGTGTCTGCAGGAAGAGGGGAACTGGGGGCCGAGCTCCTGCCCTTGTGTAGAGAGTGTTCAGGGCTCCATGTTGATGCCAGTTCATGTGGAGCGAGAAGTCCGGCTGCTGGGCAGGAATCTGCGCCTCTTGCAGGTGAGCATATGTCTGCAAGGTATTGCAGTGGCCTGTGTGGCTGCTGGCAAACTTGACACAAGACCCGGGCAACAGGAAGAGGTCTCAATCCTAAATGGGGCTCTCCTGGGAGCCCTATGGGGCTCACTGGGCCCAGGTTGGGAAGCTGTCTCACCAGTCACATCTTCTGCTCCCAGGACAGCCCAGGAGACAATGAGTGTGTGATGGAGCTCGAGGGCCGCGAGGTGGTGGTTGACGCCCTGGTCGAGTGTGAGCCGCCGCCAGAGACATGGTGTCATGTCACATGCCAGCAGCACCAGGTGCAGATGACGAGTGCCTGGATGGGGGAGGATGTGCTGGCCACAGGCTGATTACCAACCTCAGCTGGTCACTCCATACTCAGCCCAGCCCATACTCTGAACCCAAGGAAGTCTTGGCACCATCTCTGACCCCTGACCCCGTGCCCCAGGGATTCCCTACACTTGAGTTCTGCCTCTACCTCTGAGTTCCCAAAGAGTCACGGTAGCTCTGATCTTGACCCTGTGACCCCATGGACTCCCTGCATTCCAACTCTGACCTCTGACCTTGTGCTCCCACGGTCAGTCATTTTAGTCCTTTCTCTGGCCACCTCCACCCCAGCCCTTATGTCTTTTTCAGCACCAGGTTCTCACCCACTCCTATTTCTCCAGCTCAGCTATGAGGCTTTGCAGCCAGAGCTCCGTGTGGGGCTGTTTCTGCGTCGGGCTGGCCATCTGCGTGTGGACAGTGCTGATGGGCTGCATGGTAAGCTCACTGGGGCTACTGGGACTGTCTGGGGCAGCAGACCTCTTGCAGGCCTGCCCTTCACATTCCTCTCTGCCACCCACAGTGGTACTGTACGATTGTTCCGTGGGACATGGGGACTGCAGCCGCTGCCAAACTGCCATGCCCCAGTATGGCTGTGTGTGGTGCAAGGGAGAGCTTCCACGTTGTGTGGCCCACGAGGCCTGTGGTGAGGCTGAGGCTGTGGCCACCCAGTGCCCTGCGCCCTTCATCCACTTGGTGTGTTGAAACGCTGGCATGTCCCTTCCTCACTGCTGCCCTTAAGGGAGGTTGGGGGTACTCTGCATCATGGGAGTCCAAAGTTGGGAGGTGGGTCTGTCTCTCCAGCCTGCCAAGGGCCAACAAGTCGTTGGAGATGAGCAGTCCTTGTCCTGGAACAGGTGGAGCCGCTGACTGGACCAATAGACGGAGGCACCCGTGTTACCATCAGGGGCTCCAACCTGGGCCAACATGTGCAGGATGTGCAGGACACGGTCAGGGTGGCTGGAGTGCCCTGTGCCGTGGACGCTCAGGAGTATGAGGTCTCCAGCAGGTGAGCTGACTGAACTAATAGGAGCATGGCATGTGCAGTGGGCGCCCTGCTCAGGGCCACCATCCACTGCTTATCTGCCCTCCGCCTTTGGTTCTGCTTTCTATGTATAGGTACTGGGCTTACTACTGAGGCCCTAGAGTACCCACCTCAGTTTCATTCACAGGTTCCTGGCCTGGGATGCAGGGGGAACATTCCTGGGCCTGCCTGGGGACCAGTCACTGGCCAGAGCCGACAGGTGGCTCTGCTTCCTGGCTCTGCCTAGGTGTGGTCACCTGGTTTTCTAAGTGAACATGGATGTAGTTATGTTAGCAGAACCTTCAGGTCTCAGACAGTTGTGCTCAGGGGCTAGCCTTCCCACCACCTGACCCTTCTTCCACAAGCAATGCCTTGGGTGGCCTCCTCAGGCAGGGAGACTGGTGGCACACCCGCTGAGTAGCAGGATCCTCTGTTCAGTGTCTGAGACCTCAGCTGCCTTTACCAAAGTGCTCATGGCTTATAGAGGTTCTGGGTCCTGGTAAACTGGCTGGCAGCTGCAGGGTCTCAGATTCACACAAAAGGCATCCCCAAGGAGATGTCCATAGTAGCAAGTCCCAAGCCCACTCAATACTGGGGGTCCCTGGAGAGATTGCCCCGAACCATCACAGAGCAGAGCCTTAGAACCCCTCTCGGGGACCTCAGGGCTCTGCACCTGTAGGCCTGGCAGACCCCATACACCGTATTTTAAATAAAAATTTGTGAGAGCATATAGTTCCCTCCAATTGTGTTATGACTACAAACTTTAGGTGACTGTCTAGACTGTTAATGATTCTAGAACCATGAAACTAAAGTAATTTACAAAGTGATTTATAATGTGACTCAAATATATTTGGGCTGAAGCCTCTCCTGGGTAGTTCACACGTCACTTGTTCTGTTTTCGTGGGGTATTTGCAGTGACCGTGACAATGTCAGAGTCATTTGCTGCCAGCATCACATTGTAGAACTTTTTTTTTTTTTTAATTTTTTTATTTATACAAGCACTGGGTACAGTCAGAAGTGCGGGAGGGTGAGAGAATTCACCAGAGCCAGAGTGGGGAGCAGAGCAGGCAGAAGGACCGAAGTACACTGCTGAGGGGAGCAGCGGGCAGCAGGAGAGGCCTGCGCGCCATGTGGGACCCTCACCCGGTGGCCGGGGATCGAACCGGCGTTGCAGAAGCTGCGGGCAGCTTCACAACCCAGCACTCAACCGCTGCGCCACCAGGGAGGCCCATATTATAGAACTTAATTTGCCACAAGCTTCTGCTTTCTGGCCGAGAACCAGCGTTTTCTTAGACTGCTTACTTTCTCTTCATGTCTATTTGCAGACCTGACTAGTGGTTTCCAAGTGCTTTTTTTCCATGAGGAAATCAAGTTTCACCACTTTGGAATTGGTGTTGTGCGTACAGTGATGGTGGCTGGTTAGGCCCAGTCATTAGCTCAGCAACTCACCCCCACAGCCAGCCTTACAGGGCTCTTTTGTAAATTTGTGCCCAAGAAGGGATAAATTCCTCCTTGTTGGAGCGGGGTGAGGGCCTGGAGGTGAACTAGGATGACTGAAACCATGAATGTTAATTCTCAGATGCCATGACCTCCTGGTGTGCCATAAGGAATTCCCTCAGTGAGAGGGTCTCTGTCAGTCTCCTGGGGAGATCCCCTGACTAAATGACCAGAGAAGGGGTAGTAATGGTAGTTTGAGGGGCCCTAGGTGCTCTGTGTCCCAACCTGCTTTGTGTCCACAGCCTTGTGTGTATCACTGAGGCCAGCGGGGAGGAGGTGGCAGGCACTGTAACTGTGGAAGTACCAGGAAGAGGACGTGGCATCTCAGAGCATGACTTTGCCTACCAGGTGCCTGACTCCTCGGCCCACCAATGCCAGTAGGCCTTTCCCTCTGGTCCCTTCTCTCAGCACATTTGATTTTGCCTTCTTGGGGTTCCCCACCAGGGATTGCCTCTTATCTGCTTCATATTCCCCTTGCCTCTATTTCTGGCCTGATATCTGTCTGTCTCTGCCTATCCTCCTTCCCACAGGACCCAAAAGTGCAGTCCATCTTCCCATCCCGAGGCCCCAGAGCTGGGGGTACCCTCCTCACCCTGCGTGGTTCCAAGCTCCTGACTGGGCGACTGGAGGACATCCGAGTGGTGCTTGGAGACCAGCCTTGTCACCTGTGAGGGCTGCTTCCTCATTTTTAAAAAATCCATGTACTCCAAGGAAAGATGGAGGGGTGGGATGCTGGAGTAAGCAAAAGTGGGGCAGGGGGCAAGTCTGCTCCCTCAGAAAGTAGCCAGGTCCCGCCGAAGCTGGGACTGTGGGGGTAATGCAGCCCCCAGAGTCACCTATAGAGATGGCTGTCAGTACTGAAGGAAAGTGAGGCCAGACTAAGTCCCATGTCCTCGAATCACCCCTTCCCCCTTCCTGCAAGCCCCTTGGCCCCACCTACCCTGCCTTCCACTCCCATCTGCCTTCCCTAGGCTGTTGGAGCAGCAGGTGGAGGAGCTGCACTGTGAGACCAGCCCACACCGCATGCCAGCCATGCTCCCTGTGTCTGTGTGGTTTGGTGCCACTGAGCGGAGGCTTCACCACAGCCAGTTTGAGTACACGTCAGACCCCAACATCACTTCTGCTGGTCCCACCAAGAGCTTCCTCAGGTGCTGGGTCAAGGATATGGCTGCATGGCGTATAGCAGGGAATTCTTTGACGCTCCAGTACATGGGCGGTTTGTTGTAGGGCTTTATGTGGGGGGACTATGCCCACACTGTTAGTGGGGTAGGGGACCACGTGGGTTTGGACTGGGACTGAACTAGCCTAGTGGGGATTAGACTGTGCTTTAAAGCCTAGTTCACCAACTATGGGTGCTCATGGGCTGTTTCAGTGGAGGACGTGAGATATGGGCCCGGGGCCAGAATTTGGATGTGATTCAAACACCGAGAATTCGAGTGACTGTGGCTTCAAGAGCACCGCAGCCCAGCCAGGGGCTTGGGCGGAAGCGCCGTGTGATCCCGGAGACAGCATGCTCCCTGGGAGCCTCCTGTGGCCGTCATCACGTAGGACTCCCATGGGCATCTGCTTGCACTGAGCTAACTGTTGCCCACATTGCCCCACTGAGCTAACTGTTGCCCACTCCCAATCCTATGGGCAGCCGGTACCAAAGGAGGCTCTCCCCTTCTGTGCCAGGCCTCTTCCTACAGGACTCCTTTACCTGACCCTCTCTCTCTCCTCCCCCACCCCAGTTTGAGGAGCCATGCCACGTGAACTCCTCCCAACTTATGACATGCCGCACACCTGCTCTCCCTGGCCTGCCGGAGGACCCCTGGATCCGGGTGGAATTTATCCTCGACAACTTGGTCTTTGATTTTGCAACACTGAACCCCACACCCTTCTCCTATGAGGCCGACCCCACACTGCAGCCCCTCAACCCCGAAGACCCTACCACGCCATTCCGGCACAAACCTGGGAGTGTGCTCTCTGTGGAGGTACTGCTCTTACTCAGACATGGTGGGGCCCCAAAATGCCTTCACTTAGCCAGATAGGATTGCAGTATGGAGGGAGTGTGACCGAGCAGGGCAGTGCATATACCTTGTTCCTCACCCTCAATGTGGCAGCAAGGGTTGAGGGTGCCTAGCCTGATACACCTTGTGGGGATTTGATCACGTGATCCCGTGGGCCACGTCCTGACACACTCCATGATACATGATAGATGCCTGAGTGACAATATGTAAATGGTTTGGCACATATAGTATTTGGGTGGTGTACACAGTAGGCACCTGGGCAGATGTCTGTTTGGCAGCCTGACTCACAGGGACACACACTTGGCATGTGTTTTGACACACGCAGCAGGAGGGTGTGCTGAAAGGCCATAGGTAGACAACCCATCATCACCCATCTCATCGGCCAGCAGACACACAGTGGTGGCTCTGGCTTTGTTAGCTAACTGGACAGGAGCTGGGGACAGCTTTATAACCTCTAGATCTTTAGTTCTGGAGAAGTTAAGGCTCAAGGAAGAAGGACAGGGAAGGGCCAAGAAGGGTCATGAGGAGTAGCGTGGAGGACATCCACAGGACTGTCACCCCACATGCAGGAGAAGTGCTGAGGTACCATCAGCCCTGCTCCTGGGGCTTGGGTCTCAGGACCATTCTCATATTTGGGGGGATAAGATCCGACTGATCGCCAGTTCTTCCCCTTAGAGAAGGGTTCTGGGTGATCAATCAGTGACCCTATATTCCAGGGGGAGAATCTGGACCTCGCAATGTCCAAGGAGGAGGTGGTGGCCATGATAGGGGATGGACCCTGTGTGGTGAAGACACTGACTCGACACCACCTATATTGTGAGCCCCCTGTGGAACAGCCCCTACCTCGGCTCCATACCCTCCGGGAGGCACCTGACACTTTGCCTGAGTTCACGGTCAGTGGGCAAAGCCTTGGGCAGGGCTGGGCATTGGGTATGTCCTGAACCCTTGCTTACCAGTGGCTCCCCAAGCAGGTACAGATGGGGAACCTGCTCTTCAACCTGGGCCATGTACAGTATGATGGCGAGAGCCCTGTGGCTTTTCCTTTGGCAGCCCAGGTGGGCTTAGGGGTGGGCACCTCTCTTCTGGCTCTGGGTGTCATCATCATTGTCCTCATATACAGGTGGGTATAGCCAGATGTGGCTGGGCTAGGGCAGGTAGGGGGGTCGGGCTGGATCAGAAAGGAACACACTAGACAGGGGTCAGCAAATATTTCCTATAAAAAGCTGGAGAACTGTTATTTAGGCTTTGGGGGCTAGGTGGTCTCAGTTGCATCTGTTCAACTCTGCCATTGCTTTGCAAAAGCAGTCAGACACCATGTCAACATAAGCATGACTGTGTTCCAACAAATCTTTATTTGTAAAAACAAATTGAGGGTCAGATTTGGCCCAGTTGTAGTTTGCAGATCCCTGCACTAGGGCTAGAGAGTATATGGGTGGGTATGACTTGCGTGGAATGGGACAGGCTCAGTTCTGGTCTAGGCCTCAGCTAGGCCAGGCATGAAGGGGTTAGACTGCTGGCCTAGACAAGGGTAAGGCAGGGTTAGGCAGGCCTGGGTGAGGGACACTTAGCCAGGGCTCTGGTCTACCCCTTCCTGACCTTGGTGCTGAGCAGGAGGAAGAGCAAGCAGGCCCTACGGGACTATAAGAAGGTACAAATCCAACTGGAGAACCTGGAGAGCAGTGTGCGGGACCGCTGCAAGAAAGAGTTCACTGGTGAGGCTTCAGGGAACAGGCCCCATGCTTTAGGACTCTGCCCAAACCTGCTCCCATTGCCTGGGATCTGAGCCCTAACCTGCTTCTTCTTACAGACCTTATGACTGAGATGACAGATCTCACTAGTGATCTTCTGGGCAGCGGCATCCCCTTCCTTGACTACAAGGTGTATGCAGAGAGGGTCTTTTTCCCTGGGCACCAGGAGTCGCCCTTGCACCGGGACCTGGGTGTGCCTGAGAGCAGGCGACCCACTGTAGAACAAGGGCTAGGGCAGCTCTCCAACCTGCTAAACAGCAAGCTCTTCCTCACCAAGGTGAGGCCTAGCCCATGTCTAGACCCTCTGAGCCCCTCCCCTCCTCCCTCCCATGTGTGTGCTCATGCACTGGAATGGCCATCTCCAGTGAGGTGTTTCTGAATCAGTCCCTCAATCCTGGCCCAACCTCCACCCCTGCTGTCTCCTCTGTGCCAGTTCATCCACACCCTGGAGAGCCAGCGCACCTTCTCAGCTCGGGACCGGGCCTACGTGGCATCTCTGCTTACCGTGGCGCTGCATGGCAAGCTTGAGTACTTCACTGACATCCTCCGTACCCTGCTCAGTGACCTGGTAGCCCAGTATGTGGCCAAGAACCCCAAGCTGATGTTGCGCAGGTCTGTGTAGCTGTCAGAAGCAAGGGGGGCTGGGCAGGAACCAGGAGTTAAGTCAGTCCCCTCTGGGGCCTGTTCAAAATAGTGAGCTCCCAGACCTCTACCTGCTGACCCTGATTCTCCCCTTTGTCATCCAGGACAGAGACTGTGGTGGAGAAGCTGCTCACCAATTGGATGTCCATCTGCCTCTACACTTTTGTGAGGGTGAGGGAGGCAGAGGTGGGTGGGCTCCCCTCCGGCTCCCATGAAAGTTGCCCATTCCTGCCCATACCCCTCTGCCCCATGTCTGCACCTTCATTGCCTGCCACTCCCTCAGGACTCTGTAGGGGAGCCTCTGTATATGCTCTTCCGTGGAATTAAGCATCAAGTGGACAAGGGGCCAGTGGACAGTGTGACTGGCAAAGCCAAATACACGCTGAATGACAACCGCCTGCTCAGAGAGGACGTGGAGTACCGTCCCCTGGTGAGGGAGAGTGTGTGTGCTCATGCACTGGAATGTCCGTCTCCAGTGAGCGTGAAGTGAGGAGAGTAAGCGTGTGATTGTGTGTGTGTCTGCGCATGGGGATAGAGCCAGCCTGACCTCTGGCTGTCTGTCGGAGAGAGACCTTTAGACTAGCTTAGTCCAATGGGGCCTGGAGGGCCAGTCCTTAAGGACAGGGACTTAGAGGGTCCCCAGGCTTGTGATGGAGACAGGGTGGCCACAGCCAGGGTCTGGGGAGGAGCCAGCCCTTTTGAGACCAGCCCAAGTCCTTACTGTGCCACAGTCTATGTGTTTGCTAACCTTGGTCCTAGGGTTTTGCCAGGGATGCAGTTGGACCCACCAAACCGAGAGCTACCCTGGCAGACCTGCCCATTACTCTTCTCTGGGTTTGATTCCTCATAGTGACCTGTGAGAAGTTCCCTTTGGGAAAGTCCTGTTGACGCTCCAGTAGACCTGCTCCCCTCAGGCTGTGTGGGGACTCTACTCCTTACATAGCTTCTCTCAGGTACCTCACCTGACCAGCTGACCAGGAACCGGGGATCTGAATTACGAAGGACTCATGCTCACTCATTTCACCAACATTCACCCCATAGACAGACTGGTGTGCTGTGCTAGCTGCTGGGGTCACAGAATGTCCCTGAGAGAAGCAGGAGGAGTTAGGGACTGTTTGGTGCTTGGCAGAAAGAGGCACTGGCTTTCTATGGGTTGTCCCTGTCCTTGACTTTTTATCTTGATCACCCCACATGTGGCATGAGCCCTGACTACCTACATGTGTCCTGCATAGACCTTGAATGCACTGTTGGCCGTGGGGCCTGGGGCAGGAGAGGCCCAGGGTGTGCCTGTGAAGGTTTTGGACTGTGACACCATCTCCCAGGCCAAGGAGAAGATGCTGGATCAGCTTTATAAAGGAGTACCTCTTGTCCAGCGGCCAGACCCCCGCACCCTGGATGTTGGTGAGGATGGAGGGGAAGGGTGACCTAGGGACCTGAGCCAGAGTTGGGGCTGGGCTGGCCCTGGACCAGCTCTGCAGGGGCAGCTTATTGCCTAGTGGGGGTAGGATGTTGGGAGTCGGGACAGAGGTGGGCAGAGGTTCCCTCTCACCTGGGGAGGAGCCCCTGTCCTGGTCTTTGGAGAGGTTGAGTGGGACTGCCCCCTGAGGGCATGGCTGGTGTCCTTTGGAGAAGATGGATTCTTCTCAGTCCTGGAAGCCTTGGACTAGTAGTCCCACCTTGCCCTTGCAGAGTGGCGATCTGGGGTTGCTGGGCATCTCATTCTTTCTGATGAGGATGTGACTTCAGAGGTCCAGGGTCTGTGGAGGCGCCTGAACACCCTGCAGCATTATAAGGTAGGAGGGATGGCAGCTGGAGAAGGGGGCTGGCAGGGCAGGGCTTGTGGAGGAGTCATCAGCTATGGTCAGTAGGTCCCAGATGGAGCAACCGTGGCCCTCGTCCCTTGCCTCACCAAGCATCTTCTCCGGGAAAGCCAGGATTATGTCCCTGGAGAGAGTGAGTATACCCCACCACATCCTCTACCCTTGCTCTGCCTGGTCCCTAGTAACATGGAAAGGTCCTCTGGACCTCAGGGTGGGCTTGTGTGTTTCGTTCTCAACAGAGAAACCTTCAACCAGGTTTCCCACTCCCAGGGAAGGGGTTACCTGATGAGGGGTGATGAGTTGTGGGGTCTTGGCACAGGGACCCCAATGCTGGAGGATGTGGATGAGGGGGGCATCCGTCCCTGGCACCTGGTGAAGCCAAGTGAGGAGCCAGAGCCCCCCAGGCCTCGAAGAGGCAGCCTTCGGGGCGGGGAGCGTGAGCGAGCCAAGGCCATCCCTGAGATCTACCTGACCCGCCTGCTGTCCATGAAGGTGGGGCAGGGACTGTGGGTTGTTGGGGCTGGGACAGGGACAGGGCAATTGGTGGGTCTGGGCTGCAGGGAGAAAACAGCCAGTCGTGGGATTCTGGGAGGTGTGGGGCTGGCACAGGTATAGTGCTACGGGACCGGTGCTGAAGTCCCCTTGCTCACTGCACCTCTGTGGCCCCCTCCCCCACAGGGCACACTGCAGAAGTTTGTGGATGACCTGTTCCAGGTGATTCTCAGCACCAGCCACCCTGTGCCTCTCGCTGTTAAGTATTTCTTTGACTTGCTAGATGAGCAGGCCCAGCAACATGGCATCTCTGACCAGGACACAGTCCACATCTGGAAGACCAACAGGTGGGCTCAGAGATGCGGTGGGGCCAGGTATGTGTGGGACCTGATCTCCTGCCTGCCCCCACATACTCATCACCAACACCTGCCCCACCCACAGCTTGCCGCTGAGGTTTTGGATCAATATAATCAAAAACCCACAGTTTGTGTTCGACGTGCAGACGTCTGATAACATGGATGCGGTGCTCCTGGTCATTGCACAGACCTTCATGGACGCCTGCACCCTGGCTGACCACAAGCTGGGCCGAGTGAGTGTGTCCAGATGACCAAGGAGGGCGTGGGTAGGGTGGGGCAGGTGGACAGTGCTGTGCCCGCACAGACTCCAGGCTTCCCGAGAATGTGGCTAGACTTGTCCCTGGGCTCCCTGGGAGATGGCGATACCTGTGTGCAGGGCTGAGCGAGGGTAGGGGTCACCATGTGCTGATTCACAGGGTGAAGACATGGCAGCATGTGCAGCCTCTGTGACTCGGGCTGATAGGTGTGGGGGGGAGACAGGACCACTTGGTGAGGGCTCACACTGAGAACTGTGGGGATCCACTGAAGAACTTTAGGGGGAATGGTCAGTAATGTGGTGCCTCGTGGAAACTGCACAATAGATGGACTGGAGCCTGTGGGCAGACTCCAGGGAGGAAGCTCTGCTGTCCTCCAGACCAGCAGCAGCCAGGTCAAGAGGGTATAGGGCAGATAGAAATTGTGGGCTGCAAAGAGGAGGAGTCACTTATGATCCCTGAGACTCTGGCTGTGGTGAGCTCACACTTGGAGGGGGGATCCCAGGAGGTAGTGGAGCACCAGGCTGTTTCCAGGTAGAGCTGGGAGTCTATAATTGCAGAGCAGCTCCAGGCTGCCTGGGCTAAGGCCCTCCCTCTGCTTCTTGGGTTGAACAAAGGTCTCCGGGCAGGAGCAGCCCGCCCCCTTTACATTGCCTTCACCAGGAGGCCTTTGGGATCTTGGCAGCCCTATGAGCTGGCTGAGGGAGAACATGTATCATCACGATAAATACAGAATGGTCTGGGGGCAATTTACTTCATTTTCTGGGTTAGTTTCCTGATTTTTAAATGATTACATATAAAATGAATAGCACATGGAGAAGCAGGGCTAAGGCTCCCCAAGGCACTGCCCCCTTCCTGCCTAGCATGCCAGTTTCCTGCTGGATCCAGGTGGGGGCATGTGGAGCTGAGAAATGACCTTGGAGTAATAGGGAGACAGTAGCAGAAACTGGCATTGGCAGAGGAAGGGCGTGGAGGAGGTCCAGGCGAAAGGAATGGACCAGGGTGACCATCCTAGTTTGCCTGGGACTTGGGGCCGGGGGGTGTTCCTTGTGACTTTTAATTTTAAAACTGGAGGGCCTCTGGTGGCGCAAGGGGTTAAGCACCGCACTATGAAGCAATCCACAGCCTCTGCAGCAAGAGTTTGATCCCCGGCCATCAAGGGAGAAACCCACATGGCGCGGCAGACCTCTCCTCTCTCGCCCGCTGCTCCCCTCAGCAGTGTATTTCAGTCAATCTGCCTGTTCTGCTCCCTACTCTGTCTCTGGTGAATCTTCTCACCCCCCGCATCTCTGGCCTGTACCCCAGCTCTTGTATGCATAAATAAATACATCTTAAAAAAAAAATTTTTAAACTGAAACAGTGTTGGGAAGATTGGGACAGCTGGTCGTCCTAACAGAGGTTCTTATCCTTCTTTTCCCTTTCAACACCCTCCTGCCGGTGCCCAGGACTCCCCCATCAACAAACTCCTGTATGCTCGGGATATTCCCCGTTACAAACAGATGGTGGAAAGGTATGAGGGCAAGGCAATTGGTCTATATGGGAACGTGGTGGATGGCACTAGTGATTACAGCTGACACCCTAGGGTGGGCCCTGGTGGGGAGAGGAGTGGGTTTGTTTCCCCCGAGACTGCCATAGTCATGCCATGCTCTCTGGCAGGTACTATGCAGACATCAGACAGACCATCCCAGCCAGTGATCAAGAGATGAACTCCATTTTGGCCGAACTGTCCCGGGTAAGGCCCCCGCTCTGATTCTTGGGTTGGGCCAAGGCCTCCTGCCATGAGGACCCTGCCCTCTTTACCCTGTCCTTTGCTGGAAGCCATTGGGATCTCAGCAGCCCTGTGAGCTGGTTTAGTGAGGACACATGCATATCATCCCTATAAGCGAAATGTTTCTGTTGCTGCTGTGAGAGACCAGGGCTCCCAATGTCTCATCACAGATGAGCCGGGCCTTGTCCTGGCAGCTGCCTCCTAAGCTGGCTCAGCCAGGTACTTGAGTCCCTGCAGCCCTAGTTAGGATCTGAACCACAGGTCCAAGGCCATGAGGCTGGGCCTGCCTGTCCATGTCTTCCTAAGGCTCTGCTTTCTTCAGTGGTGTAGACATGCCCCCTCCCCCTCTCCTAAAGCAGCCCGGAAACATAAACTCCAGGGAACTTATAAACAATGTCTCTGGAATGATGATGGCCGTGAGCACATCCACAGTAAGAACAACAGCTCTGATTCTGGGCTGTTGCTGTGTGTGGTACTTTGGTTGCCTTCTCATTTGACCCCCCTAACAGCTCCACAGTCGGGTGACATCAGTTCCGTTGCCAGATGAGTGGATGAGGCTCAGATATGTCCCTGTGGAGGGGCCTGAGAGTGACCTTGGGAAAGGCTTGAGTGACATCAGCGCAGAACTCACTGGGTCACAGCCCATGAGCAGCATCTTCCATCCTTCCTGCTTAGCTTCACAGTCCCCGGGGATGACAGAGGGTGCCAGCTGGCGCCTCAAGTGGGGGAAGGGAAGGACCAGTGGAGAGCCCAGGCCCTGCTGAAACTGCAGATGTGGGGTCTCTGCACAGGGGAGGCCCTTTCACCATGTCCTGTCCCCAGCTGGGCAGGCCTGACCTGGGGCCCCGGTCTGCTTCCCACTGCAGGGTCTATCCCTTCTCCCACCTCCCAGGCCCCCCCTTAGCTCTCTGCCCCTCCCCTGGAGTCCTAGGCTTCCTCTGGTGGCTGGCAGCACCCCTCATCTCTCTTTCCTCTCACCTGACCTCTTTCCTAGAATTATTCTGGAGACCTTGGGGCGCGAGTGGCCCTGCATGAACTCTACAAGTATATCAACAAATACTATGACCAGGTGGGCAGAACCTTGGGCTCTGGTGGGGGGTTGAGGAGATGGACTTGAGAGGGCACCTGGCCCTGTGATGCAGCATGGGGACCTTTTGGGTATCCCCTAGGCACAGATAAGGAAAGGCTGGGATCTGGGCCTGGGGAGCACTTTCCAGGTTTGATGCCTGGTATCTGGTATAATTATGCTCACCCTTCCCTTCCAGGCTCCCAGGCATGTATGGGATGACCAGGTAGCTCCAGGCCTGGAGAGGTGTGCAGAATGTGCTGGAAGGAACATAGAGCTGCTACCTCTGGGTGTGGGTCTAGCTGGTAGCATGGGCTGAGAGAGAGGAGGGTCCAGACACAGGACTAGGGGTGGCTGAAAGAACAACAGACCCCTTGTGGAGGTTGTCTGGGGGATTCTTGGGCTAGCCCTCAATATCAGAACACCTACCAGCCTACCTATTAGTGTCTGGCGGGATCATTCACTCAGAGGCTTATGTGGCACCAATGATACAGCTACTGCCACTCAGAGGAGCCTACCTCGTGACCTGGAGTGGGGATAATCATTTCACAGACAGGTGGTGTACAAGTGTGAGGTCCAGCCACTCAGCCTCGTTTGAGTGGCATGAGCCCTAGCCCCAGGGAGGCAGAGATGTGTGACATATCACGTCTCTTTGTGGAGACACAGCAGGCAAGGCCTGCCGGGTTCACCCCTTCCCTCTGGACAACCCCTGTTTGTAGTTATGTAGCTGTTCTTGCTTGCTTAGTATCTGTCTCCCTACCAGTGAGTCCCACGAGGACAGGTCACATCTATCCCATCACTCTTGGGTACCTGCTTCTAGCCAGCAGCTGGCACATGGGAATTTCGAACGTTCTTATTGCTGGTTGGGTAGGGGAAGGGGTGGCTGGAACAGATCTTCTCTTCAGGAGAAAGCCTCCACTCAAAATGACCTTCCAGAGGGAGGTGGATGTTACCATGAGTGCTAGGTACTGAGTAAAGTGCCCCATTCTCTACTTCATTAATCCTTAAAACTTCACAGGGACTTTGCTGTTATTTATTCCCATCCTTCGGCATGGCCCTGAGGTCACATAGGAAGTGAATGAGGCAGTTCTTTGGGTTCCTGGGGCTCCTGCCCCCAGTTGTGCTAACTGTATTTGAAGAGGCCTATGGGGTCTACGGTAAAGGTCTTCCCCTGACAGGTTGGTCTCTGCCTTTCAGATCATCACTGCCCTGGAGGAGGATGGCACAGCCCAGAAGATGCAGCTGGGCTATCGGCTCCAGCAGATCGCAGCTGCTGTGGAAAACAAGGTCACGGATCTATAGGGACCTGGCAAGCCTTGGCCTGCTGTTGCCACAGCCCCGCCTGGGCAGCCCTGGAACCAAGAGGGAGAGACCACCTTCTTAGATGCCTATAGTGTCTGACAAGCAGAGTTAGTGGAAGGTGGCTCCCAGTCTCCTGGTGGCTCTGGTCTGGGCCTTGCTACCCACCTCACAGGCCTGGGGCCTTGAGGCTAGTGGAGTGGTTCCCAGCCTGCTTCCCGAGCCCAGTGACCCTGTGGGCTATTTTCTGTGTGATGTCAGCCTGCAGGGAGTCGGGGACTAAGGGCTTCCAGAGAGTAGCTGGAAGGGCTTCCAGACTCTGGGGAGACTGTACTGTTTCTGGACACTGGCCTTTACTCCACTGGGATTCATGGAGGAGGGAGGAAAGTTTCCACTTCCTGTCCTGTCCTCCTCCACCATCCCTGACCTCAGTTCAGCTGACTGTGGCCTTGCTGCTGCCATTTTCCTAGGTCCGAGAGATGAATACATTTCTTAGGTCACTACAAACTCATCCTTCAGCAGGGTTGGCTGCCTCAGGGCCACCCTGCCTCACAGGCAGCCCACTAGTGGTGAGGGGCTTCTGCTACAGGGGGGCCTTGGGGAGAGTGATGGCCCCACTGACCCAGCTCTTCATTAAAAAATAACACACGTTGTGGCATCTGATGTATGGGCTTGGCCCAACTCCTCCCTGAGTGGGAGGGTGGCAGCTGTGCCTGGCAGGCACTGGGGGAGGTGGAGATCTGGGGGAGGTCTCAGGGCTTCCAGTAATGCCTCAGTGGTCCTGCTGACTGGGCTCTCCTTGGCTCTGGGGCAGAGCTTGCATGGTCAGAGCTTCTGTGAAGGCAGTTAAGTACCCCATGCATGAGGGGTCTGGGGAGGCCTGCGATGGCCGAAGGTGGAGGGTTCTGTAGTCTCTCTAGAGGAGCCTGCCTTAGATGCAACTTGGGTGTTCTGACTTCTGCTTTCCTGTTCCATTTGTCTTGAAAAAGACTGGAAAAGGATTGTAGCTATGTAGCCAGCTCTGTGGGGAGTGGGCCCTGTTTTCACTGTCCTATTTCTGGACTCCACAAACCCCTCTAGTTTGGGACATTCTAAGGGGCTCCTGTTTACTAGGTTGTGTTCTAAGTCAAGGCATCTGGATGGGGGTCCTAAGCCACTGTCTGCCCATGTGAAGGCCACCTGGTATGATTTGAAGCTGGAGGTGAAATGAAGATGGTCTCAGCTGGGTCTCATCGTTGATGCCCCCTTGACTGAGACCACCCTTCACCTCAGTAGGAGGCCAGCCTTCCAGAGGTGAGCCCATCAGCCCTGAGGTCTTCACAAAAATCACCCCCTGATTCTCCACTTACTCCCCATAGGCCAGAGGCCACCTAGCCTCCTTTCTTCTCTGACACTTCAAGGACCCACCCCACACTTCAAGGTCCTTATTGAAGAGTTGAAGAAACAGGCTGATATGATTCCAGGAGGCCTCTTCCCGCCCTTTTATTGGCCCTATAAAGCTATCACAAAGCCCAATGTGGGAACCACAGTCAGAGACAGGTCTGCAGTCAGGCACATGGCATTTGGGAGCATGTGAGCTTTAGTGCTTCAAATGGGCTCTCCAGCCAAGTTTTTATAGTGACTCAAGATGGTTCAGATTCCTTCATTGGCTGGCTCTGGCCAAACCACGAAATTGAGTTCCCATCTTGACCAGCTTAGTCTCACAGAGCAGAGCCAACAGGAGTTCATTGTGGGGTGGATTTCAAGAGGCACAGAGAGGGAGGCAGCCTTGGTTGACACCTCTGGAGCAATGGCAGAGCCGTGCTTCTGTGCCAAACCTAGGCTGCTGCAGGTTCTAGAAGGCCTGTAACTGGGTAGGTGATGGCTCTGGGAAGAGTGCAGCCATGCTGGGAAGGGTCAGATTGAATGTGCTGAGTCATTTGCCTTCACATCTAGGCTTTCTCTGAACACTGTTATAATAAAGGATGAAGAATGAAAGCCTACCAAGATAAGAACTTCTAAGTTGTCACTCAGACACTGTGGCTAAGGATGGAGGTTCTAACACCAACAGGATGTTGTGGACCTTGGATCTGGTTCACAATTTCAGTGTCTGATACTTGTCATTTAGTTTGATCCATCTTTTCCTAAATTTTTCTGATGGGGATTGCAGAGATGTGCCCTCATTCCTACATTGCCCACAAACATATTAGCATGCAAAAAATCTTTGTTTCTCATTACCACCGTGGGCATGTTTTGGGGCTTAGGAAGTGATTTTCTTTGTTGAAATAATTTTCATGAATTTAAATATTGGAATAATTTTCCAGACAGAAGATCTGGGAGTTCTGTATATTTTTATTCACTTTTTCCCCTTTGGAACTGAAAGATTTATATGCTAATCAATGTAACAGTTGACTTTACACTGATAAATGTTGGGATCCTCTTGGAAACCACTAGAAATCTTGGGAATAGACAGAAGGACTCTAGATCCTGCTGGTCAGTGCCAACAAATGGTTGTGTTGAGGGCTACAGGAGGGCCTGGCTGCCCCAGTCTTCTCTGTTGGACCCGGTGACTCACTGACGTTCATGCTTCAGGTGCCCTTTCCTCCCCAGATGCCCCTTAAAACATGTTCAAGGATAGGGGCCTCCCTGGTGGTGCAAGGGGTTAAGACACAACCTATGAAGCTGTCCACAGCCTCCGCAGCATGAGTTCTATCCCCTGGCCGGCCAGGGAGCAGCCCACATGGCGCAGCAGACCTCTCCTGTCTTGCTTGCTGCTCCCCTCAACAGTGTACTTCCATCAACCCGCCTGTTCTGTTCTCCACTCTGTCTCTGGTGAATCCTCACCCCCCCCCCAACACCTCTGGCCTGTGCCCCAGTTCTTGTATGCATAAATAAATGCATCTTAAAAAAAAATGTTCAAGGACAAATTCAGACCGCCCCTCCAATCCTTTGGATTAGTTAGTTGGTGATATTTCATGGATCTTCTTTTAGAAGCATCCTGCCCTAATTAAAGATGATGGTTTATCCATTTCCAAATGTAGACAAGGATATTATCATGGTGTTTGGAAGGAATTTCTTTTTTTTTTTTTTTTTAAGATTTATTTATGCATACAAGAACTGGAGTACAGGCCAGAGGTGCAGGGAGTAAGAGGATCTACCAGAGACAGAGTGGGGAACAGAACAGGTGAACTGACTGAAATATACCACTGAGGGGAGCAGTGGGCAAGACAGGAGAGGTCTGCTGCGACATGTGGGTCACCTCCCTAGTCAGGGATGGAATTCATGGTGTAGAGGCTGCGGGCAGCTTCACAGTGCTGTGCCTGGTGGCACACCCTTTGTGCCACCAGGGAGGCCCAGGAATTCATTTCTTGATTGCAACTTTTGGGTTTTATTTACAACTGTTTGGATTACCAGGTACCCTTAAAACAATGACCTGGGGGCCCTGAGAATGCTGGCAGGTCTAGGAGTGTTTCCCTCTCTGCTGGGACTGGGAGTGGCACGGGGAGGTACTGCCATCTTCTGGCCACACTAGAACTTACCAGAAGTGGTTGAGGATGTTTTCAGTGTCCTCAGTTTCTCTAGAAATTCAAACAATGAGGAGCAGTTCTAAAGTCAGTAGTGCTAGGGCTTAGTGGGTAATCTTACCTTGTCTCCCACTTGAACTCTTGTTTAGATGTGAGATATGTCTAAGGAGATGATTGAGGTTGTGTAACAGTGAGTGACTAGTCAGGAAAACAAACTGGAGTTCCAAACAGCAGAAATTTAAATATAAGGAACTGATTATAAAAGAAGGAAGGGCAAAAGGGGAAGTAATGTCACCCAGAGATCAGAGATTCCAGAAGCCTTAATCTCCCCTACGCTGACAGCGGGGACCATGTAACCCACAGCCCGTTGACCTGTGATGTTGGGAAGGCAGGAGCTGTGTACTCTCTGGTGCTACAGGAGCCAGGCACCCTCAGACATGGTGACCGGTGCAGTCAGGAAGCGGGGATTCATGTTTCCTGTTGAAACCTCACCGCTCCCACTCTTGTCTCTCTAGGCCCCTAGCCCAGGAATCGGAGCTCAGCTCTGGGGGGCAGGAAACCTGGATTTTAGTTTTAGTTTTAGTTTCTACTCCTCTGAGTCACCTCTACTCTGGGGAACAGACCAGGCTGATGTAGCATATGGCAGGGGCCATCTTGTCTTGTGGGTTAGATTCCAAATTGGCACCTCACAGGATTTAATGAGGAAATGTTTGTCAAGTGCTGGATCAGTATAGCTTCTGCAGAAAACTAATGGCTTAGACTAGAAAAGAGTTGATTAAGGGAACTACTTACAGAGCCGTGGGCATCAGGGAAGTCAACAAGGGGCAGTGAGCACAGCTGTTACCAGCCTGGGGCAGGGTAGGGCAATTATCCAGGGCAATTATCTGCACCAGTGGGAGCTGCAGCTGAAGGAGGGGCTGCCCCACAGAAACAGAAGCTTTTGAAAAGGGAGGCCAGCCCTTGCCAGCCTGGCCCTTGGACAGGGAGGAAGCTGGTGGAATAATTAGCCTGGCCTCTTGCTCCCCCCACCTCCTAGTCTCCTGTCAGCATTTATTGGCTAAGCCATGGGCCAGGGGAGGTCAAATCCCAAGTGCAAAGTTTAGTGGAAAAGCCAGGAATGGCTTGATGAGCAAAGATGCATCCAGTGTAAGCACCTACCACCCAGGAGACATACAGTAGGTGCTTTGTCCTTCAAGACCACTTGGTTCTCAGCCTCCATTCCCCAGGGAATGGTGCTCCTTGGGAGGTGCTGCGCAGCACAAAAGGACCTCAGAAACATTGACTTCTTAGGACCCATCTGACCTCTTGGCCTCTCCAAGCTGGGTGGGATGCTGGATGTGCAAATAGGGACCCTAGGAAGACGTCAAACTGCAGGCTGTGGAAAACATGTCGCATATCTACACTTCATCTCAGAGCAGAAGAAGCCCCTGATTCAGGTTTGTGAATCCAAGAGGAAAGTAAGTCCTTGTTCTGTCACTTGGCCATCCTGGGCAGCCCCAGCCTGAGAGTTTCTCGCCTTTTTCTCTCATGCACAGGGTTGCTGCCTAAATTCTCCCTGGATTCAGAGTGAGATTCAGGCTACAAGCAGTACAGGAGGGCCCTGCCTTTATCCTGTCTTGCTAGCACCCCAGTTCTTTTTTTTTTTTAAGATTTATCTGTTTATGCATATAAGAACCGGGGTACAGGCCAGAGGTGTGTGTGGGTGGGGTGAGAGGATTCACTAAAGACAGAGTGGGGAACAGAACAGGCAGATTGACTGAAACACGTTGCTGAGGGGAGCAGCGGGCAAGTCAGGAGATGTCTGCTGCACCATGTGGGTAGCTTCCTGACAGGGGATCAAACTGCTTCATAGGTTGCGTCTTAACCCCTTGCGCCACCAAGGAGGCCCTAGCACCCCAGTTCTTGCACCACAAGAGAAAGGTACCACTCTGGCATTATCCATGGGTTGGGGTAGACTATGGTAGGCACACTGGGTGTCTTCTCTGGGGAAGGCTGAACCCAGCCAGGGGGAATGAGACTTGCTCAAGATTACCTGGCAAGTAGGACGAGAATCCAGTTCTCCCAGATGGAAACTCAGTCTCCTGCTGCTCCATGCCCCCCAGATTCCCTCCAGGACAGGTCTGCCTCGGGCCCAAGCACCACCTCCTGGGCCCCTCTGTGTCCTCAGCATTATTAGGCCAGGTCCTTCTCCGCTGCCTGCCTCCTGCCCTACTGCCCTTGGATACATCATCAGTCCCTTGACTTCCTATCTGATCCCCCCCTTTGCCCTCATTGGCTTTATCTATTTCTCCTTTTCATTTTGTCAACTTTTGGTTCCTATATTTGAAGTGAATCAAATATTTAGGATTTTTATCTTTGTTTTGATTTTTTAATATTTATGAAATTTTCCTTATTTCTAGTGATACATTTGCCTTTGTCTGCTTGAATACTTTTCAATGTTCATGGTGTAAATTCCCACATGACAATTCCTTTAACAAGTGATTGAGTTGCTGTGAAATTCTAGCCTTTGGATGGAGTAGGTATGTCCTCTTAGGGAGACATGTGTTTCCTTTTTCCTTAGCAGACATTGTAACCCAATTCAAATGTTAATTTTCAGATTAACATATTTTACTACTTTTAAAATTATGATTTTAAGTATTTCATTTTATTCCCCTTATTAAGTTCATGCCATTTAATTTGCGGTATCTCTAAATCTTCCAAACTGGAGGTTTGGAAACTGTAAAAAATCCATATCAGGCAAAGACTGCAAAGAAAAATATTCATTCACTTTATTTATTTTTTTAATTTTCTTCAAGGACTTTTTTTTTTAAGATTTATTTATTTATTAGATTTATTTTTATTTATTTATACATGCACTGGGTACAGTCAGAAGCATGGAAGGGTGAGAGAATTCACCAGAGCCAGAGCGGGGAGCAGAGCAGGCAGAAGGACCGAGGTACACTGCTGAGGGGAGCAGCGGGCGGCAGGAGAGGTCTGCGCGCCATGTGGGACCCTCCTCTGGTGGCCGGGAGCAGCCGGGGATCGAACTGGCGCTGCAGAGGCTGCGGGCAGCTTCGCAACCCAGCGCTCAACCGCTGCGCCACCGGGGAGGCCCAAAAATATTCATTCACTTTAAAGAGGCATTGTTAGGAGTATTATATACATTCACTTGAATTAATTTATCCCCATTATTTTATAGTTGAAAATACAATGTCATTAAAGGAACATTTTAAGTGGACAAAACCATGGCTTGCTCATAGAAGTATGATGATCATTTTTACATTTTTCTCGGTCATTATCCATACACGTTATTCTCTTAAATAATTGTGATAGAAATTTAAATGCCATTTTAGAATCTACTTTATTTCATTTTGCTTCAAATCATTCATGTTTTAATAACTTAGTTATTCATTCTTTAATTTTTTTACATAGTAATTCATGAAGTTGACCTGCAACGATTAACTGACTGCTTTCAACAGAGTATAATTAAATCTGTAGTTTATATCACAAAGTTTTCATTAATGCAAAACTCACATCTGGAAAAGTTGGTATCTCCTGAGTATAACTTCCCTCTATATATAATTGTTGCAGTAAACTTTTTTTTTTTTTTTTAAATTTTCTAGAGGCATGTCTTATTTATCTATTTGTTTGTTTGTTTGGTTTATACATGCACTGGGTACAGTCAGAAGCGCGGGAGGGTGAGAGAATTCACCAGAGCCAGAGTGGGGAGCAGAGCAGGCAGAAGGACCGAAGTACACTGCTGAGGGGAGCAGCGGGCGGCAGGAGAGGTCTGCACGTCATGTGGGACCCTCCTCCGGTGGCCGGGGAGCAGCCGGGGATCGAACCGGCGCCGCAGAGGCCGCGGGCAGCTTCGCAACCCAGCGCTCAACCGCTGCGCCACCTGGGAGGCCCTGTTGCAGTAAACTTTTTAAGTGAATTCAGCGTAGGTTAGTTTGATACCACATTAGAGACCCCACTCTGATCTGCTCACATCCAGCCTTGGTGACATGATAATTACATCCCAATGTGGGATGATGTCACCCCACTTGTCCCCCCATCTGATACCTGCCATCACCCCCCACAGCCAACACTCATCTCATCAGCAGTGAGCTACACCAGCCAGCTGAGACCCTTGTCTCAGACCTGAGCTGGAAGCAGCAGGGGGCTGAGGGGAGACATATTTTGGAGGAATTCCCTTTTCTCATTTCTCCAACATTTTTTGAAAAACTTATTTTTTTGTGTGTTTGAATAATGTCATCTTTCTCATTTATCATCATTTCTATTTTTCTTATTATCTTCCTTATTTCCTTCTCTTCATTCTCCAGTTTGTTTTTCTCTCATACTTCCTTTTCTTCCATTCTTTTTCTATTAAGTTCATTCCATTTTTATGCCCTTTATTTCCTCTCCTTTTTTTAAAAAGCATTTTACCCTTTCATCTTTGCTCTCCAACCTCTATTTATTCCAATTTTCCCAGTCTCCTTTCGAGGGAATAGAGCAATTTGGTCCTTATTGCCAGTGGCAGCCTCCCTGGGTTTCAGCATCTCAATTCCTTACCAGAGAGCAGACCTGCGGCAGCCCCTTTGCTGCTTCTCTGTGCTATCCCACTTTGATGGACAAAATCCCTTCACCTCATAAATTGCCTGAGCCAAGTGCCTGGCTGACAGCTTGAACTGCAGAGGACTTGCTATTACTGTCTTTGCCTGATATGGATTTTTTAGAGCTCAGCTTCATTCCTGTCTTCACTCCCTGGCCTCTCCTCAGCCTGCTCTCTGTTCCATTATTCTAGTCATCTATTGCTTTCTGTTAAGTTGTCACAGGCTCTGTGCTCATTTTACTCTGCCCTCTCACTCCCAGCTTTCCCGGGGCCAGAAGTCAAGGAAGTCCAATGTGAAGTTCCTAGTCTCACTTCTTATATCTTCAAAGTCACTTAGGGCTCTTCATCCACAACTGCAGGGCCAGCTGTTGCACCTTGCTCTCTGTTCTTTAAAGGCTTTTCCTTGCCCTACTTCCCATCCATTTATCCCTCCCCTTCAGTAAGAGGCTTAATTTACTTTCAGTGGCCTCTCTCTGCTGTCTTTGTACTTCCCTGACAAGCTCACCCTGCAACCCATTTTCTCTTATTCCTTTTCTGATGTTGTTCCATTGGTTTCTCTTCCTTTCTTTTCTCTCATCTTGTTTATCTTAGCTCCTTTTTTCTTTTTAAAAAGATTTTAACATTAATTTGACAGTCATTTTCATCTCTCTATAACGTTGGGGGGACATTTTCACTCATAGCACATTTTCTATTGCAACATTCCTTTCCCTCTCTCTCTCACCTCCCACCCTAGCTTGAATTAACTGCAACCATCAGTTAATCAATCTGCGACCACCACCTCTGTATTTCTGCTTTAACCATTTTCCTGGCGCTGCCCCCTTATTTTCACTCATGAGTACTGGTGATCTGTGACAAGACTTATTTTCCTTCCATGTAGAGCCCTGCTGTCTGTAGGTCTTCCAGACTTTCTCCATTTCATCACCCATGGGAATATTGGCATGTCTGCTTGGCAAGTCCAGAGGCAAAAAACAGAGCACACATAGATCTGCCCTTTCCTCTTTTCCTTATGGATCTGGCTGACACACAGACCTTCAGTTTTCCAGCCCTCAAGTCTATATATAGGAACAACGCTCACCGCTGGAGGTAGCCTCCTGCAGCCCCCAAAGCTGCAGGACTGAAGGGCTAGTCTCAGACTCAAGTTGCAGTTACCGCAGATACAATTGTTGTTTTTCATTCTGGCCTGTTCTCTGTACTCAGAGGTCTCTTCTCATCTGTTCTTCATCTCTTATCAGTAAACACAGGTGCTGTTTATAAAATATCTCCTGTTATCTTCGCCACCAACCTTGTCCTACACAGTGACATCACTAGGCTTTTCTTCCTTTATCCTTCTAGTCACAAATTCAAGTTCATTTCTCTAGCAAGGGAATGGTGAACACTTTGACAGCTAGAAACCCTGCCCTTTGGGAAAATCTCCCAAGTGTGTGATCCCTCCCACCCAGGTCCCCAAAGCCAGGGGAGCAAACCCATGTATCTTACTTGACTTATTAGTACTTTCTCCTGGAACTCTGAGTCCTGAGCTACTGATACAAGGAGAGGGGACCAGTTCTTTATCACATCCTTTACAGTGGCTGAGGAATGTGAAAATAGAAATGCTCATATTATTTAGCCTTTGATGTTTTCTATTTCCTAGTCCTCCTGAGCGGTTTTTATTCCCATTTGTATTCAGAGTCTCTTCTAGCTACCTTTAAGTTTTAACTTCTATATTCTGTTAATATATTTCCTTATTGTTTAAATTCTATAGTGTTTTAGTTGCTTACAGGCAAAAACACTGATATAGGTGTCTTCACTTTTAAAGAAGCTGCAATTGAATTTCATACTTGCCCCCACAATATGCTCCCCTTGACTAGTTTGGGATTGTGTATTTGTGTGACCCTTTAAATTTTACTACCTTACTATTATGCTATACTCTCCCTGGTGGCAAGGACAAAAGATATGTTGCTCCACATTGCAATATCTCTCACGGGGTCTGATTCACCATAGATAAATCTTCACTTCTTTCCTAATAGCACTAAAAGAATCATTCTGGGCTTGCAAACAGAATTCTCTTTACTACGTTGAGGAAAATAATACAAGGCTACATAATTCCATTAGTTTCCACATTACATTTTCAAAGAATACATCACCAGAATGCTGGATCCACGAATTCTTGATACTATACATACTATGCTCACATTATCACATATTGCTTTGGAGACATAGCTGCCAATAGAAAAAACAAGGTAATCAGTAGACAAAAGGGAAGGCAGGTATAAGCATTTTTGATAATACTGAATTCGATCATTACAGGAGACTAATGTATATAGGGCAAGGATGTCTACTCTACTTCAGTGTCATACTGAAAGTTATAACCAATGCAATAAGGCAAGAAGAAGGAGTAAATGGCAAACAGATTGGAAAGGAAGGAGTAAAACTGTTGACAGATTACATGATTGTTTACTTATAAAAATCACAAAATATTTACAAATCTGTTAATAAAGGCAATCAGAATTAGTTTAGCAAAGTAGCAGAATACAAGGTCAATATACAAATATTAATCATATTCCTATACAGTAGTAGTGAAAATTTAAATAAGACATTAGTGTTTATAAGAACACCAAAAACATGAAATACAGAGGGATAAATCTTTCAAACTATATATAAAACCTGAATTGTAAAAACTATAAAAACATTGATGAAAGAAATCAAACACCCAGACAAATGAGAGACATATAGATTCATGGATTGGAAGACACAACACAATAAATATGACATTACCACATCTCTCCCACACTTATCTATATAATTCCAGCATAAAACCAAGTAGAATTTTTGTAAAAATTCATAGACTAATTCTAAGTTGTATGAGGAAAATAAGGGAACCAGAATAGCCACACTAATTCTTAAAAAAAAAAAAAAAAAAATGGAGGACTCAATCTGATTTCTAAATTTCTATAAAGTTACACTTTCAAGGTATCATATTAGAGGATACACATATAGATTACTGGAACAAAAGAGAAAGTCTTTTGTTCATGTATACATTTTGAGCATATATATTAACCCCTACATATGATCAATTATTTTTTGACAAAGGTGTAAAGACAATCAATGAAAAAAGAATAGGTTTTCTTTACCCCCCAAATGGTGAATAACTGAATATCCATATGCAAAAGATAAATAAACCTTGACTTATGTCTTGTCCTATATAAAATTTAATTCAAAAATGGATCCTAGACCTAAATATAAAACCTAAAACTGTAAAATTGTCAGAGGAAAATATAGGATAAAATCTTTGTGACCTTGGGTTAGGCAAAGATTTCTTATATACAATACCCAGAGCCCAATCATTTTAGAAGAAAAATTAGACTTCATCAAAATTAAAAACACCTTATTTTTCTTCTTTAAAAAAAAAAAAGATTTATTTATTTGTGCATACAAGAGCTGGGGTGCAGGCCAGAGTTGCGGGGGGTGAGAGAATTCACCAGAAACAGTGGAGAACAGAATGGACTGACTGAAACACACTGCTGAGAGGAGCAGCGGGCAAGGCAGGAGAGGTCTGCTTCTCCATGTGGGTTGCTCCCTGGCCGGCCGGGGATTGAACTCTGTGCTGCAGAAGCTGTGGACCGCTTCACAGCGCAGTGCTTAACATCTTGCGCCACCAGGGAGGCCCAAGAACACCTTATTTTTCTTTTTTTTTTAAATTTTTTTTTTAATAGAGGCATGTTTTATTTATTTATTTGTTTGTTTTGTTTATACAACACTGGGTACAGTCAGAAGCGCGGGAGGGTGAGAGAATTCACCAGAGCCAGAGCGGGGAGCAGAGCAGGCAGAAGGACCGAAGTACACTGCTGAGGGGAGCAGCGGGCGGCAGGAGAGGTCTGCGCGCCATGTGGGACCCTCCTCCGGTGGCCGGGGAGCAGCCGGGGATCAAACCGGTGCCGCAGGGGCCGCGGGCAGCTTCGCAACCCAGTGCTCAACTGCTGCGCCACCGGGGAGGCCCAGAACACCTTATTTTTCAAAGACACTATTGGGAGAGTAGAAAGACAAGCCACAGGGTGGGAGAAAATATTGGCAAATCATTACGTGATAAAAGACTTATATTCCAAATAGATAAACAATAGCAAAACTCAATATTAAGAAAATAAGCTAAATTAACTGAATAAGCTGAATTTTAAATGGGCAAAAGGCTTGAACAAACACATTACTAAAGCATTATCTGGTTAGCAAATAAGCAAATGAAAAGTTCCTCAAAATCATTGGGGAAATGCACAACAGAAATATCAATGAAATCATCACATACATATTAGAATGTGAAACAAAAGCAGTTTTTATAATGTCAAACATATATGACCCAACAGTTCTGCTTTTAGGAAAATACATAAATACAAAAATATTTATAGCAATTTTATTGTAATTGTCCCAAACTAGAAACATAAACATTCCTCAACTGACAAAGTGATGAACCTAAAGAGATAGTAAAATGAAGTGATAACTACTGGCACTACTCAGCAATAAAAAGGAGTGAATTATTGAGGCACACAACATGGGTAAATCTCCAACACCATGCTCACTGAAAGCAGCCAGACACAAAGGAATCCATATCCTATAATTCCACATACATAAGATTTTAGAAAATATAAACTAACTTATAAGGACAGAAAGCAGGGCCTCCCTGGAGTTGCAAGGGGTTAAGACACAGCCTGTGAGGCTGTCCGCAGCCAATGCAACAAGAGTTCCATCCCTGGCCGGCCAGGGAGCTGACCCACAGGGCGCAGCTGACCTCTCCTGTCTGCCCACTGCTCAGCAGTGTATTTCAGTGAGTCTGCCTGTTCTGTTCCCCCCTCTGTCTCTGGTGAATCCTCTCAACCCTCACACCTCTGGCTTGTACCCCAGCTCTTGTATGCATAAATAAATAAATCTTTAAAAAAAAAAAAAAGACAGAAAGCAGATTAGTGATTGCCTGGTGCGGAGGACGAAGCACGGGCAAAATAAAGTCGGATGGATAAAAGACAAAGCTATGCAGTATGGGACACTTGATATAAAGGAGGAAATAAATATTTTTTAAAGTATCACTGAAAAGAAATGAGTACTATGACTTAGAGTAGCTTAAGATTTATTGGAGAATATACAGAAAACAAAAAATTATAGGAAGTCAGCTAAGCATAATTATATAGTAATTATATTTTTAATATATTTTTGCCTCAAAAACATCACAAATAATTTCTCTGAACATAGAGATCTCTCCCATTCCTTAAAAAAAAAAAATATATATATATATATATATATATACTCCATTATGTGGATAACACGCCATTATGTGGATAAACCTTAGTTATTTAACAATCTCTTACATGTTAGGCAGTTAGGTAGTTTCCAGGATTTGGCAATCACAACTAATGCCACAGCAAACTGAAGTATTGTTAATGACTGGTGGTGAACCTTCAGAGTAAATTTCTTTTAGTGGCATTGGCAGTTCAAAGGATACATATATATGTATTTTGTTAGATATTGTCAAAAACAGGCATTATTGGACAAGTAACAATCTAAGAAAATATTTTAAAGTATATAGAAGATAAGACTTCTATATTTAGGATGTAAAATCTCAAGATAATCAATTTCAGATGAAGGCAAGCAATCTAGAAGAAAATTCAGCAAAATGGAGACAAAGGCAATTCACTAAAGAAGCAACCCAAATGGCTAATGGACTCAAAAAAAGGTACACACCTGGCCTGTACCCCATTTCTTGTATGCGTAAATAAATAAATCTTTTAAAAAAATAAATAAATCTTCCATATACTGTTTGTGAGAATATAAATTGAGAGCAATTTTGGAAAGCCTTTTGACATCTATCACAAGGACCACAGACAAGCTCCCAAGAACTAGTAATTCTCTTTTGGGGAATATGTTTCTTCATATAGCTATCAAAGATCTTGAAAAATATTATCCCTTCATTTATTTTATTATTTATAAATTTTAAAATTTCAGGGAAAGTTTAAGTCACAAATCAGGACTTACCAGCTTGGAGTCTTATCATTCTGCTTCTGTGCCAGGTGACAGCAGCTTTTGAGGTATGGATAACGGCCTTCTTCTTCCCACATGTATATGTGCAGAGAGTCATCCATGGATGTGGTAAGGACATGGACAGAATCCTTCAAAGGACAGCTGGGAGTGAATGGCCCGAGGCAAAGTCAGGGCAGTGAGCAGTGGGTGGAGGAGGAGGACATACATACCGCCCACAAGTAGCCAATGGTCCCCTGGTGGTTTTCAAATTGTTGCAGCATGAGCCCATTGATGGTGAAGAGCAACAGGTATGGCCCACTCTCAAAGGCAATCATATTTCCATCACTGACTCCCATCCAAATAGGATTCTCCATATGAGCTGGCAACAGGAAACTTGCGATCTGATTTGCTGTTTTCATTTCAAAAAAATACCCCCATTACATTTACTTGGAAGCTACACCACCAATCATTAAACACAGATGCACACATGCAGGCAAAGTTTGGATTATTTAGTCATGGTAATAGGTGCTGTGATACTGGGGCAGAGGGCTTTGGGTAATGAGTAAGAGCTCAATGATGAGGGAAGACCTGCCATGGAAAGTGTCATTAGAATTCAGATCCAAAAGCATGATGGGAATATAACACGTCCTCCCTAGAAAGCAGGTGGAGTGTAGAGGTCAGAAACATGAGCATCAAAGTCAGAGACAACTGGCTCACACCCAGTTAAAGAAATCCCCTGCCTCCATTACATGTGACCTATTTACATAATTTCATAGCCTAAAATGAATGGATGCATGATGAGGAGAAACAAGTGTTTCTGATGTGGCACAGCCTACCTTGGAGGACTATACTGTCCCCATTCTTCACAGCTGTTAGATCAAAGGTGGTGAATCCTGTCTTTTTGAAAGAGTCCCTTCGGAACATCAGTGTTATCCGGTTTGGCCTTCTTGGAGCCCAGCAGGCTCTGCAGCATGATGAAAGCGGGAGAGAGAGAGACAGAGGGGCATAGTCCTCTGATGGCCTCAGTAAGCACTTTGTGAAAAACACCTGTGGAGAGATTATCACACATGTTGTGGTGAAGGGGGAAATTACAGCATCTTAGTACAGGAGTTACTCCAGAAAAGTTCCTTAAAAATCTTCATGTGATCAAAACTTTATTATATCTTAGGAATTGTTGAGCAGTCCCTACTCATTATGCCAACATACGAACTCACTGTCTTCTTAGTCTGCCTGTCATGGTCACATGAAGTATAGTCCTGAATCCTGTCTTCTAGCAGGCCAAGGGGCTATAAAATCATCTCCTCACACTGGGCTCTGATCAAGTAGCAGCCAGGTAAGCAGACTTTCCCTTCTTGGAGAACTAGTCAAGGCTGTTTTGCTTTTCCTGCCTCCTTGCTCTCTGATGCCCAGTCCACACATGCCAAGCTAAAAATGGCCTGCTGGAAGACCAAAGACTTTCTCAGAGTGACCATCAGAGGCTGACATGTATTTATTTACTTCTGAATCTCTCTGTATTTTCCAGTCAAGAGAGAGGAAAGCAAAGCAAGGAAAGCAAAAGTGAACAAGGTTACCAAAGATCCTCTTTTTTTTTTTTTAAGATTTATTTATTTATACAAGCACTGGGCACAGTCAGAAGTGCAAGAGGGCAAGAGAATTCACCAGAGTCAGAGTGGAGAGCAGAGCAGGCAGACTGACAAAGTACACTGCTGAGGGGAGCAGCGGGTGGCAGGAGAAGTCTGCACACCATGTGGGACCCTCACCCAGTGGCCGGGGATCGAACCGGCACTGCAGAGGCTGCGGGCAGCTTCGCAACCCAGCGCTCAACCGCTGCACTACCGGGGAGGCCCACAAAGATCCTCATTTCTTGATCACTCACCCTCCATCTCTTTGGTTGATTTAGGTTTAATGGGCAAATATTCGTTAATTAGTGTTTGCCTTTGCAACTGAATATTATTACTTCAAAGAACATGGTTTCTGGTCTATAGGAATGAATTCCACTTATCGCTAGGGCACTTGAGAGGGTGAGCCGTATGTTTGGTCCTCACCAAGCTCTGCAGTTTCTTTAGCACTCCTTAACTTGCCTTTCTTAATGCCTGACCCTCTCCTCCAGCAGTGAAAGCACAGAGCAATACCTACCCTTGGCAAGATATTTTGATATGTCCCACATGCAAAGAGCCAATTCTTGTCAGGAGAGAAGTGAAGAAAATCAACGCTGTATTTAAATGCATTAACTTTAGAAACGCTCCTTAATTCAGGCACTGTCAATGTGTAGATGTCACCTTCAGCATTGGCCACCTGAAACCAAGGCATTACCAGTAATTATGTCAACGGAAAGATGTGAAATTGAAAGCAAAAGCTTACAGAAGTCAGTTGTAAGATATGCCAGCATTTCTTCAATCTCATAATGGAGATTAAAACCTCTGGCCAGCCTGTCTCATAATATATATTTTTAAAGATTTATTTATTTATGCATACAAGAACTGGAGTACAGGCCAGAGGTGCAGGGGATGAGAGGACCCACCAGAGACAGAGTGGGGAACAGAGAAGACAGACTGACTGCAATACACTCCTGAGGGGAGCAGCGGGCGAGGCAGGAGAGGTCTGCTGCGCCATGTGGGTGACCTCCCTGGCCAGGAATCGAACACGTGCTGCAGTGGCTGTGGATTGCTTCATCGGTTTGTCTCAACCCTTGCGCCACTAGGGAGGCCCCGGGATGACTGCCTATTAAGGCAGTAGGTATGTTACTTTGTGGGTCTCTTCCAGATGCAGGACTCACTTACCATAAGAAATGGACCATACTTAGTGAGACAGGCTTCCAAGGAAAAATTGGCCCGAGGCATGTCGAGAGCAGCCAGAGCATCCTCATACTGACAATTCCACACTTTGATAGTTCCCTCCAAATCTGCAGTGAATGCAAGATGCATCTGAGGGAGGGTTGTGAGATTCATGATTCTAGACTTCTGGACTGGGCTTGACCAGATCATAGTGCCCTAGAGAAGAAGAATAACATGATATGTGTTCAAGGAACTTTCACACCTACTGTGCTTTCATTCTGCTAGTGTTTATTTGGAAACTCCCTTCAAATCTCATCATTTCTCTGCCACCTCATATATTCACAAAAAGGTATTTATCATACTTCAGAAGACTCTGTAGGAGAGTCACTATCTAATTTCTATGGGGAGGAGAGAGAAATACAAACAGGAAAAATCAAGAAAATGCAATAACCTGGGATCCACTTTGGGTTTTTCCAACTCCCTATCTAGTGCTTCTTACACTGAATGTGCTTGTCCTGCTAAATCACAACCTTTGTGCCCCATGGATCTCAGTTAGAGACCACTTTCTGAAAAAGGCTATGTCACAAATGCCAATAGTTGACAGAGAGGCCGTAGAATAGGTGATGAAGACGAATACTGCCAAAAGATTGTTTATATCACTGCATATTACCAGTAGAAAATAAGTCCTTGCACAAGTTTTTGTAGAGAAACACATCAAAAAGTGACTTCTCTGTGTCTACAGTCTAAATATCACATGTTACTAATTAGAGGATCTGATTTGAAACTTTCTTTCTGTTACCGATTCCAAATACCATTTTCCTCCAACACTTGGGTATAAGAGCATGGACACAGGCTCCTCATTAGCTCATTTTCCTCCAACACTTGGGTATAAGAGCCTGGACACAGGTTCCTCATTAGCCAGACTCACGTTCTGCACATCCCAGGCATACAACATGCGTTTTGAAGACACCGTGCAAATGACTGACTTCTCTTGTCCGTCCATTGTGTGGCCACTTCCTGACAGATAAGCCATAGGTCCTAAGATTCCTAGAATGAAGCAGACAATAATTGGCCACCAAATACTAAAGGGATGACCCATTTGAATAAAAAGTCTGAAAAGATAATTTTAAGTATTCGGCACCCTCTTAGGAGGGTGTGAGTAAAAATTGGGTTCCAGAGTCATCCCAGAATGGTTGGGATTGGCCATTTGAGAAATTGGCCAACTTGTTTTCCTCTTTAATCTCAGTTTCCATAGATATAAAATGGGGATAAAAACCTCTCCATTAGAGAGCTGTGTGGAGATTTCTTGACCTACTAAACATAGAGCTTCCATATGATCCAGCAATTCCACTCCTAGGTATTTACCCAAAGGACACAGAAACATCAATTCCAAAGAGCACCTGCACCCCTATGTTTATAGCAGCACTCTTTACAATAGCTAAGCTTTGGAAACAACTTAAACGCCCAAAAATAGATGACTGGATCAAGAAGATGTGGTACATATACACCATGGAATATTACTCAGCATTCAAAAAAGATAAACACATGCAATTTGCAGCAACATAGATGGCGCTGGAAGGGATCATGCTCAGCGAAATAAGCCAGAAAGAAAAAGAAAAATACCGGATGGTCTCACTCATAGCAGGAATCTAGAAAACTTAAATAAGGGACCAGGAAAAAGAATAACTATAAGAGGGCCTCCCTGGTGGCGCAGCGGTTGAGCGCTGGGTTGCAAAGCTGCCCACAGCCTCGGCAGCGCCAGTTCGATCCCCGGCTGCTCCCCGGCCACCGGAGGAGGGTCCCACATGGCCCGCAGACCTCTCCTGCCGCACACTGCTCCCCTCAGCAGTGTACTTCAGTCCTTCTGCCTGCTCTGCTCCCTGCTCTGGCGCTGGTGAATTCTCTCATCCTCCCGCACTTCTGAATGTACCCAGTGCTTGTATAAATAAATAAATAAATAAATCTTTTAAAAAAAAAAAAAAAAAGAATAACTATAAGAAAGTGAAAATCAAAATCAACAAACAACTATGAACCAAAGACACTCTATGGGGGGTGGGGGTGCAGGGAAAGGAGGGATTGGTGTCAAAATAAGGGGGTTGCATTGTATGGGGAATATAAATATAAAATTTAAATTAAAAAAAAAATCTCTCCATTAGAGAACTGTTGTAAGCTTTAAATAGGTACCAGGAATAAAGTGGGTGGTAGAACCTCCCTTATCTAAAAGTATCCTTTTTGTTTAAGTTTTTCATTCTAGGAAGGATGGGAAGCCTGTGGGGGAAAGGGAGTAGTAATAGGGCCCGATTTTATGTTATGAGAAGATCACTGTGGTTTCTCCAATCAGCATAGATTGTGGGGGACAAAAGAGGAAGCAAAGTGACCAGTGATAGTTGTCACAGCAACCCCATCCCATCAATTTAAATTCCCTCTCAAATAAACACACAGAAAAGCAAGCAGTAGATTTCTTAAAACAAGTTTCCCACGTTCCTCTAGAGTACTCTGTCTCCATACCGAGGTCTCCTTTTGCTTCTTTGCAGTTAAAGTCCTCAGGTTGTGCCAGTGCCATCCGACGTTCCTGCATTGTTTGGGTGAGGAAGAACTGCTTCCATGTCTTTGTTCCCTGGCACTGATATGAAAAGTTGCAGAATCTCCACTTCCTCAGACACAGGTTTCTGGAAATAGAGTCACAGTGCCATCTGATCAATTCACCTCCTCGGCACCTCTGGGACACCTACCTCTTTTCTCACTGTAACCTTCACTTGTGCCTCTCACAATACAGTCATGCACAGGCCTAGACACACAATCAGATGTCCTCCTCTCTCCAGAGACACCTGCCTTCCCATCCAACCCTCCCCTTCCCTTGCTCACCTCCACAGGGAATCTGTTGCTGCAACCTCGTTCCAGTACTAAGGGAAGGAAAGGAAGAGGTAAGCATGCAGTCTGTACCCAAACACTGGCTCCCACTCTGCCATCACTTGCCCTGTGAGAAAGGCCCTGTGGGTTAAATAGCCACCATCCAAGTCTCAAAGCCTTTCCAGTCGGGGGAGACAGGGTTAGGTAAACAGCAGTGGACCAGTCCTAGTAATATGGACTCAGTATTTGTGAAGGAGTTCACAGGGAGAAGTGTGGGTTTCCTAGGACCTGGAATGGGAGCCTTAAGGACCATTTAGCCAGCACAACAACTCCTGAATATCATTTTGCCATTATCATTTAACAAAATAAGAAGGGCTCAGAATGAAGGATGCTAACTCCAAAACATTTAATATGTCATCCTGCTAGTCTACAAATTGGTACTCAAACTGGTCAGGGGAAGTGACTGAGTCTCTGGTAAATCAGAGCTGAATGGACAGGTCTGAACAAAATAAAGTTAAGGAATAAAGGAAGGTTATATGGGGATAAACAGGGGCTAGCAAAGATCCCAAGACCAAGGGAGGTAAATGAAATGGGTCTTGTGCATGCACCTACAAGATGGAAGAATGGGGTAAGGGGTAGGGGGAAGGCAGACTGGTCAATCAGAGCATTGTGGTGATAAGTGTTTACCCTGTTCACTTGGGAAACCTGGAGCAAGCTGTATACATCCAGGAAAGAGAAGATTCTCAGCAGTGGCACCTCAGGCAATTGGATCTCCATCCTACATGGCCTGAGCCCACATCCGGTCTCCTTTCTCTGCCTTCATTTGCTCTAAATTTAAAGCCTTGGCCCAAATCTTCAGCACTTGGAAGGCTTTCCACCCACCGCCCATCAAGTTCTGACCCAAACAGGCTGCAGGTGTGCAGATTCAGCCTACACTCCACTTTGGCCTCGTCTCTGGGGCCAGCTACACACAGCTGAAGGCTACTTTTCATACAGTAACTTGTTAGAGCTTATTGTTTAAATGCCACCAATACCACCATGGCACTATAAACCCAAAGTGCAGGACCCTGGCACAGCTCTAGTTGTTGATCAACCTGTCAGGACTCTAGGAAATTTCAACTGACACACTCATCTAATCCTGGCTCTATGTGGCCCCCATTAAGTTCCAAATCACTGTGGTAGGGAATCTGCCTGCCACATTTATATGCTTACTTTGGGACATTGAATCTGAGCCAACAAGGCCTAACTTAGTACCAATACATCCCCTGGGTGCCCACCTTTGTGCATTTTAATTTCCAGTGGAAGGGGAAAATGGTGGGCTAAACAGACTTCTCCACAGAGGCCCATGCTAAGGACCATGTCTGAAAAGGTTCTTAATCTGTGCCCTTCCCTGTGGTCTGACACAAGAACTTGATGAGTGATTCTAGTATTTTCTATAGGGAGGTCCTCTGAGATACTCAGCAGTGATGAGCCCTTCCTTAAACTGCTAATTCCAGACTGACCCGCGATAGTATTTTTCAGAAGTACCGTTTTTTTTTCTAAAACGTTATCTACTCCATTAGCCAAAGCCAGATTGTTTTTAAGGGACACTATTCCCTTCCTCAAAATTTGGAATAGAAAATTTTTTACATTGAGAGATACATAAAATACAAACCTGACAACTGTGAGGAGACCACCTCTTTTATTCTATTGAATTAGGTTTGTAGGAAACTGGCTTGAAGAGAATGTGGTTTAAAGAGAAACTGTTACAAAGGGAATAAATCCTTATTAAAAGAGAGATAAAGAGACTATTATAGTAACTTTTATGCCAGTAATTCTAGTCCTCCCTGAGTCTTTCAGTTTCCTTGAACTATGCCATTTACTAATTATAAAATTAAAATAATATCTCTTTTCTTTTTGTTTACCTAACTCAAGTGAATGAACAAACTTTTGACTACTCACTGTTAATACCAACAAAAAAGTCATGTTAGAATTAGACCTTGACATACATTCTGAACTTTGCTTTAAATATCTTCATATATGGCCAAAAACACATGAAACAAAATGGCGAAAAGTGTCCTTCTAGCTCTAATGTTCCAGAATATTGAATGCTGGGACTGATTTTCAGGTGGCTGCATGCTTCTCACCATCTGTAAAGTGGGAATGGTAACTTTTTTTTTTTTAAGATTTATTTATTTATTTATTTATACAAGAACCGGGGTACAGGCCAGATGGGCGGGAGGGTGAGAGGATTCACCAGAGACATTGCTGGGAACAGAACAGGCAGACGGACTGAAATACACTGCTGAGGGGAGCAGCGGGCGAGACAGGAGAGGTCTGCTTCACCATATGGGACCCTTGCCAGCTGGCCGGGATAGAACCGGCGCTGCAGTGTCTGGGGACAACTTCACAGCAGGGCGCTCAACTGCCTGCACTACGGGGAGGCCCAGGAATGGTAACTTTTAAACTGTTGCATTCTCTCTGCTCTTGCTCTCTCTCTCTCTCTCTCTCTCTCTCTCTCTCTCTCTCTCTCTCTCTCTCTCTCTCTCTCTCTCTCTCTCTCTCGTTGCTGATGAACCTGGCTCTTTCCTCTGAGTAGTAGTCCTGTAATCACTTCAGTTCACTCTACTCACCCTCCAGCCTATGAGTCCCTGTGTTTGTACAACAGATGTGAATTAAATCAACATTGAAAATAAGCAGAGCATTCTTTGCTCATCCATTCTTTTCCTGAGATCAGTGAACATCTTAATGACACTTATTTTGAACTCTTTATCAGGAAAGTCACATATTTCCATTTTATTAAGATCTTTTCCTGAGGATTTATCTTGATTTCTCAGTTGGAACATATTCCTCTGTTTCTTTGTTTTTAGTGATTTTCTGTTTTGGCTTCTATGCATTAGATTAGAAAGTCACCTCTTCAGTCTTGAAGGAGATGAATCGTATCAGTCAAACTTGCCCTAACTCTTAGTTGTCTCTAAAACCTTTGTGATCATCCAAGCAACTGACTTTATTTTTAGGGGTTCCCAGTGGTTTGGGTATGTCTCAAAGGGGAGGATCTCAGTCAGCACCTAGATTCAGACTGATTGGAAGCTGGACCCTCAAGAAGCAGCTTTTTAAAATATGCAAAAAAAATGCAATTTACCTTTCTCAGAGGAAGACTAGGAGATGGCTGTTTCTGTCCGCTCTCTCTATAATGTGCCCTAGGGTGATAGCCAGTTAAGACCTGTTTCTTTCTTTTTTTTTTTTTAAGATTTATTTATTTATTTATACAAGCACTGGGTACAGTCAGAAGCGCAGGAGGGTGAGAGAATTCACCAGAGCCAGAGCAGGGAGCAGAGCAGGCAGAAGGACCGAAGTGCACTGCTGAGGGGAGCAGCAGGCGGCAGGAGAGGTCTTCGTGCCATGTGGGACCCTCCTCCGGTGGCCGGGGAGCAGCCGGGGATAGAACCGGCGCTGCAGAGGCTGCTGGCAGCTTCTCAACCCAGCGCTCAACCACTGTGCCACCGGGGAGGCCCCAAGACCTGTTTCTTTCTTTGCTACTGTCTCGCTGACCCTGCAAACAAAAGCTCCACAGGCCACCAGACACAATAACCAGAGCACCAGAAACTCCTTCCTTGGAGATATCATGCTGATCCAAAGCAGGGTAGAGGGAGAACATGAAGATGGTACTCCACATTTGCAATTCATATTTTAGGCTCATGAGAAGTATAGGGTAAATCGAAGTTATCAGGTTTTTCCACTCTCCCGCCATTAGCATCTATGCTGGACACCTGTGGTCTTACAGGCAGGCCTGATGGTGGCACCTGGAGGCTGGTGTGGGCATGCGTGGCTGGGCGCACCTGAGCGGAGCCGATAGGGTCGGCCGCATCAAAGAGGACAGCACGCAGCAGAGGACAGGGGTGGCAGGGGATGGTGCTGTGGAGTACAGCAGAGGGCGGAGGAGGAGTCCAGAGATAGACCAGAGAGAGCCCAGAAAGCATAAAGATTCGCTGGGGGCTGGGATGCCTGCCAGCCTCCCGGCCCCCCTACCGACCTGTGCCACTCTACCGCCTGCTACTACACTGGCATAGGCCGGCAGGGTGATTCGACACAGGTGGGTATGGAGCCTCTGAAGACCTTGGAAGGGACTGAGGGGTGGCGGCGGCGAGTGTGTAGTGCTAGGTGGCCAGCCTCCTCTCTGGGCGGCTCCCAAGTCCCTGCTGCAGGTGGAGAGGACTCTGCACACAGTGGGGAGGCATTGGATGGACATGGTGCCTGCTGAGAGGCAGGGCTGGGGCGTCATGGACAGTGCTGGAGGCGCCGTGGCAGCACAGATGATGACCAAGGTCCAGGAGCATCAAAAGAGTTAAAGACACTGCAGGAGCACAGGAGGTGGACAAGGTCCAGGAGATGTGGGACAAGACCTCAAGTGAGGACATGGCCTATGAGGAGCAGCCTATGACCCTTGAGGCAGCAGAATGTAAGAGGACCACAATTGGTTATCCGGAGCTCGCCCCGCGCTGATGCAAGAATAACACTGATGGACTAGGACTAGCAAATCTGCCAGAAGGCAGGGAACTTTGTCAAGTTGATGTTAGTCCTTTGGGACCCTGGGAATGGGAGGGGTCTTTGCCCACCCCAGGAGATGAAAATCAAGGGGTGGCAAGTGGACCTTGCTGGCCTAATGCAGCCTTGTGTGAAGTTCTTTGCAGCCAGACAGAGAAGATGTATCCAGAAAGCCAACTTGGATAAAGCAAAACCTGGTGCCAAGGTTGGAGAGCTCTGAGCGGCTGACAAGCGGCTGAAAGGATGCTAAAGGAGGCAGGGTGTCTAAAAATCATCTGTGGGTGACATCCTTTTCACTTTTGAAGAAGAGTGAGAACCTGAGGACCCTGTCCTCGGGTCAAGTAGGGAACGTGGCTTGTGGGGGAGACCACAGCTGAAAAGGAAGCCGGAGAGGCCACATGTGGAGTTTGTTCTCCACAGCTCCTGACAGACGTGCATGTAAAGGGGTGGCCTTAGTACAGGGGTCTGCTCGTCACGGTGGTGGCTGTGAAAGCCGAGTGTTGGAGTGACAGCAGGGAGTACCCCTGGGGATTGGGTGATTACCCCCAAAAGAGTATCAAGTGTGTCGCCAATCTCAGTGAGTGCATCGGGGGTGGATGCAGTGTATGGCTTGGGCTGAGACCAGGCTGGAGAAGGCCAGGAAGTCTGACGGTTCCCAGATGTGATGACAGATGCCCTGAGTGGAGAGTGGTTCCCCTCACAGGAGCAGTGCCTTCACAGCAGACGTGGTGGATCATCTGCTGGCACCAATGACCATCTTGTCTCTGCCCCTAGGTAAGTGCCCTGCCTGGGCTTAGTTGTATTGTTGTATTTTGTTGTATCGCTCTCTTCAGTTGCATTGTGTTTACTTTTGTGGGTCATGGATGCAGTGTTTATATTGGCCAAGGCAAACTTGTGTGTAGATTGTATAGCAAAAAACCCTGAGGGGGTGGAATGTGGGGTAAATGGAAGTTATTGGATTTTCCCACCCTCCCACCATTAGCATCTATGATGAACACCTGTGCTGTCATATGCAGGCCTGATGGCGACACCTGAAGCCTGGTGTGGGCATGTGTGGGTGGGCGACCTGAGCCAAGACTGAGCAGATAGGGATGGTGTCACAGAGGACAATGCACAGTGCAGTAGAGAGCCCCCTCTCCGGAGAGACCCCCTTCTGGTTACAGAATTAGTTTTGTAATTTATCATTTATTCAGCAAATACTTAATGTGTATGTAATCAAAGTTAAATTGCTCCCAGTTCCTAAAGAACAACAACAACAACAAAAAA